ATTTGTCTGAGCTTCCCCTGACAGAGGAGCACGGTGAAGAGGAAGGGAGGACCACAGTGGATCAAATCAGGGAGGCTAGAGCAGAATCTAACCCCAGAGTGCATGATGTCCCACTGGATTTGAACCACAAGGACGGAGCCACCTGTGTGAAGGCCATGCGGGAGGCTATTGACGAGACGTACAGGAATAGATATAAGAGTCGTGGACTGCCCACCGAGGTTGCGGATCACTTCCTGGCAGACTGTTTCGATCCTAAATATACATTCGAAGAGCGCATTGTTCTGATCAGGAAGAAACTGTGGGGGGACCCACCTGTAGTGAAATGTGAGAGAGGTCACCCGGATGGGGCCTCAACTGAAAGTGAAACTAATAAAAATACAGAAGACAGCCTAAATCAACCAAAGACAGAGGAGGTCAAGGTCTCGTAGATCTCTATAAACACTGCCTTCAGTCATGTTTACTCAGCAAACTTTCTGTTTTATGATCCCCTTGATGATACTCAAGGTTTCAGATTTTTATTGCTAGGTAAATTACATGTACCTATATGGCTCAATTTCATTAAAGAACATGTGGAGGTATTCTGCCTATCTTTGTGAATCAGAATGTAATAAAAAATATTTAAGGGATAAAGGCATACATTTCAGGACTTTGATTTGTTTATTTGAATTTATGAATTTTTTCTCTCTACAGTTCACACTATATATCTTTTAAGTGATTTTAGCCTTCCATATTCTGAGTTTCAATATATTATTTTATATTAATATTTTCAAACCTTAGTAAAATGTTTGTTACACCAATGTTAAGATTTAATTTGAAGATAATTTTTTGTATTGGTTGATTGCACACCTATGAGTTTATTATAAAATAACAACAGCATGAAAAAAAAATTAACACATGAGGGCCACCTAATCTGCTTATTGAATGATATACTTCTGTGTACCAGTGAGGCTATTTTTCCTGGGGTGCAAATTTTTGCAACATAAAAAAATCTTTCTTTTTTTTTTTTAACTTTGTTTTGTTAGCTGTGTCCCAGGTTATCTCACCCTTTAAAATGTAAGAGCTGTGTGTGTGAGGTAGCTTTAATACCTCACTTAAGATTTAATAAATTTATTATTCAATGAATACACTGAAATATTAAACAGGCTGATTATATAAGAACAGTTCTTGGATTATAGACAATATAGAGGTGGTATTTTGAGAGAAAATTTTTTATAATTTACCACCACTTAAACTGAGACCACCTTCACAGAACAAGATTTCAGCCCAATCTCTGGAGGCAAAACTTTGACGTGTAGTGCACTGACCAGCATACACCAGAAGTCGTTATTTCAGCTGACATCAGACCAGAAAACAAAGAGTCCATCAACATTCATTAGTAATCATAGTGAATCATTCAAGTTTTGCCCTAAAGGTTTCCAAACAGCATACAAATTTATCATTTTGCACTGTATACAGTTTAAGGAAAAAATGAACATCAAAAGGCATTCCAGTTCAATTAGGAGAGGGGGTTTCACGTGCATCTATCAAATTAAAGCTTAATTCTGTGTTGTTAACGAGAGTTAGGGAGAGTTTTGTATAGCAGAAAATCTGATCAAATGGTAACCATAACGATGTGGGAGGAGGAAGATCCACAGGAAGTAGAGAATGAAGAGGTGGATCTAGAGGGGTGGCTGGAAGGTAATCCAAAATCTCAGGGGAATCATTTCTGTCAAATTTTTCTCTCTCTCATCCTACCGCTGATCTTTTCGGAGGTCCTGGTTTGCTCTGCTTCTGATTAGTATTGTTTTAATGGACTCCGGAGCTTGATTTTTGTTTTCTCCATACAGTCATATATTTCATTTCTGTAATTTGTTCACCCAATTTTTAATATCACCTGTTTTGACAAATTAAGACACTGGTTTTGTTATTTGATGGTAAGAGGAATTTTCTGATCCACTTTGGAGACTGTTGTTATTGTTTTGTGTTTGTCGTTGTTGGTGGTTGGTGGTGGGGGGGGGGGGGGAGGTCAGTTTGCTGAATCATTATCAGACCCTATATCACTGTGGTGAAATTTTTGTGGAGTTATTTATTTTATTGATGATCATTTTTAGACATAGACGTAAAATTTCTTGTGAAAGCAAGAAGTTATATTATGATACTAAAATAAACAAAAAAAAAAAAGCATGATAATTGCATTTCATTAATTACCAAAAAGCATTGTATACTATAATCTCTAAATGCACTGTTGTTGCTTTTTTTATACCCCCCGCAAACGAAGTTTAGGGGGGGTATATTGGAATCACCATGTCCGTCTGTCCGTCTGTCCGTCTGTCTGTCTGTCTGTAGACGAGATTTTGTCCGGACCATTACTCAGAAACTATTGGAAGGATTTGTCTGAAAATTTGTACACATATTATTCACCATATGAAGTTGTGCACCTGATATTTTCATCTTGATTGGATTATTATTTTGAATTTTACAGGTGTTTTTTCATTTTTATTTTGTGGTTTTGTCTGGACCGTTTCTCAGAAACTATTGCAAGGATTAATCTGAAAATTTGTACACTTATTATTCACCATATGAAGGTGTGCACCTGGAATTTTCAACTCTTTTTGTTAATTTTTTTGCATTTTATAGGCTTTATTTTTTATTTTAATTGACTTGTTCATTTTGGGTTCATGTATAAGGTTTGAGATATAGAATCTATCTGTTCAAAAATACTATTAAAACTACTCATATAAACTTAAAAAAAGAAACATCATAAAGTGTTAAAAACAGTTTTTACATTGCACAGAAGATAATGTAATTTCATTTGTCTCTTGGGAATAATTTGCATCCAGTTAAAGATAAATTAATGAGTTTGGTGTTGGAAGTATCTCTTATCAAGTGTGTGTGTTATCTATCTCCAGGGAATAAGGCACAAGAATTAAAGATCTCTCTTCTCTTATTCTCTTAATTGTAATTTATTGTCTGTCAAAGCACTTCATCACTGGATGACCAGCTCTTTATTTTCAAAATGCATTTCAAATTGATATATCAAGATTAATTTGATTTTGTATAATGGTTTTTTTTCAACAATCAGTTTGCAGAGTGACATAACACATAATTGCAATATATTTTTTTAATGCAGTAATAAAAAAAAATTAAATGAAAAAATTAAAACAAAATGTTACAATGGAATTACAGTGTATTAGTTTTGATGTTTCATTTGGTTGCACCTTTGTTTCATTCATTAAGAAACATGATGAGCAATTGTATTTCACTGCAAATTTTTTTAAGTAAATTGTGAACACCTCTAGATCCATAAAGTATTTTTGAATTGGCACCTTCTCTGAAAAACCCAGCGGGGGGTATTTGTTGTAAAATTGAGAAAGAAAATCCTTTTTCATGCTCTTTGTTAAGTGTTTATATTTAGTTAGTGGAGTGTAATGCCAATAAAAAATACCAGACATGATCATAATTATAGCGCATTTAATAATTGTCTGGCTCTATTCTGTATAGCTGAATTTCTTTACCATTCATACAGATATAAAAGTAGAGAATTCCATGTCAGGCAAATGAAAAGAATATGATAATTTACTTGTTTGTGCGAATCTAACATTAGATAACCATTTCATTTACATTCAAGGATAATGTGTCATGTTATATAATAGAAATCTGGTTGGTTTTGACCGAGTTTGGTTTTTGTTCGGTAAATCGTGTCAAGTTGTTTTTATCCTTGGTTTAAGGCAGCACTCCCTGTCTTTGGTTTCTGGCCTGTGGAGGAATTCCGTAGGCCGAATATGATTCATAGCATTAATAAGTAACACAAAAATCAACATTGTAAAGTCTGCCCAAACTTAAATATACCTGAAGCTTACAGGTAAAAACTCCCACAGATAAAATCAGGAAAAAAAGGTTATATCAGCTGAAAGTCTCAGGTGTGACACCCCAGGTGAAAGTGAACATTTCTAGTTCTGAATAAATTACAGCAGTTCATGTACCACCAAAAGTCTGTCAAATTTCATACTGCAGTTTGTATTATTCTGTTTTAATTAATGTTTGGCTTCTTGTGTATATGAGTTTAAGCATTTCAAATAACAAGGTAGTTTAATGTTTTCTTCAGTGGAGACAGTTTTCTGGTTGCATAATTCAGCAAAATTTTAAATGTACATGTCCCTGCTTATGGAGAATTAAGACTTCATAAATAAATTCTGATTTGATTTTGCTGTTGGCTGTGTACTTTGAATGAAGTTTTTGTTAGCCATGTTTTGTCTCAATTGTACACCTGTGTGATTACAAAGCTGAATAACCATACATATAAACAGAGTAATCGTCTCAAGTACACTTTATAATACAACTCTCATACTTGTGTTTTTATGAATAGGCTTACAAGGTCTAATCTCTCTGGCACAAATCTTACTCAGGGTATAACAATTGTTTTTGTTGGACCAAGATATTTTGTAAACGACTGCAGGTTTTTATGCCTGGCTGAGAATTGTGCAGTCTAGCAGTTGTAATAATGCATTATTATGACACAATGAGTAATAGATAAAGCATTTAGTCATAGTTGGTGTCGTAGACAATAAATAAAGAGTTGTAATGTATCTTTTTATGTCTGTTTTTATCCAGTTTTGTGTAACGTCACACTACGCCGGTTACCTTATTATTAAGACATCTGGCCACAAACCTGAGGGCCAAGTCCTCCATAATAATTACAGGGTCAGTAAACTACAATCAATTTGTCCAATATAGGGCCATGAAAATACACTGAATGTTCAGCAGGCCCTAGCCATTGTAATTCTTCATTGACATAAATAAATTAAAAACCTTGAACAATCTAATCTAGAGTTTGTCTAAGATCTGTATGATCACTGTCTACTTTCACTGGGAGAGTCAGATTATGGTGTGGTATCGGTAGATCGTGGGACCGGTATGACCTATTCACTGTTGTTGTTATGGTCGGTGGAGCCGCTGTCACCCGCCCTGGACTTCATTAGATATGGTCTACCTGTCAACCCTGAGGGGCCAAAGGTGTGCTGAAGATAAAAGAGCGAAGTTATAGCACTACCTGAATGGATAAAGTGCCGTTTTAATTACCTAATCACCACTGCTGTTTAGCATTCGTTTTATATCATTATACAGGGAAATAGTGGTAGTGCTATTTCTGAATTGTAACATGCCTGAACAGTTATAGCTTTCTAACCTTGCCCTTAATGACAATTGACAAGGATTTAGAAGCATGAAATCCAAAAGATTTTAAACTTAATGTCACACAGTTCAGCCGAACCTGGCGGAAATATTGATCTGTTTTTACCTAGGGTGAGAGGGAACTGGGATACACATAAGCATGGACATGGAATAGTTTCATTCATTGATCGGGAGTTTCTTGTTAAGGATTACTGTATGATATAAGTATTTTTTCTGAGAAACATTCTTGCAGATTAGAAATTTAAAAGTCCCTCTGTTGGAAGAAATAACGAACTCTTCACTGAATTGTGGGCTGTGCCACATAAGTAACAAACTTACCAACTGTGTCGAAATTTCTTTTGTTTTTTGTGTTCTTCAAAGGAACTTATATAGAGAGACCTAGCTGAACTTGTATTGTTAACAAAAGAAGATCAAGGATCAAAGAGCAGTGAATCTTGTCAAGTGATTTTTTAACCAGCCCCTTTAAATCATCATACATTGCATAATCAATAGAGAGTGTAGTGTGTTTGTAGCCCACCTGAGTCGAGGCAGCCTGTTTACTTTGCCAGACCAAACTATCCAAACGGAATCTTGTATTCGAGAACAGTGATTATAAATAGCGTGAGGGACTCGACAGCCTTCTACTGAACTCATCATTTTATCCATGTGTTGTGGAATCGATAGAATAACGAAGTTACTGAGGGTTGCTTGTTGACTGTGCCGGCATGTTAGATAGGAATGCATGACAGGCCGGCATTGATGCATGACTATGTAATCTGTGTAGGCCTTGTGTCAATTTAAAATGTGGAGGGAATATTTTATAAACTGTTGGAATAATCATGTCGGAAAGTTCATGTTTTGTATGGTTTTATGAGTAACAAGAACATAACTGCTAGCCTTTGTGTGTTGGATAAGAATTTGTGGTATATTAAAGGAACAGTTTATCTTACAAGATGAAATCATGTGCCATTGATTGACTTTGACTAACTTTGAATGATATGTGTTTGAAGATTTATCAAATTCATTGAGTCAGAACTGAAACAGTAAGTTAAAAAATGTCCTACAGTACATTAATGACAAACATTTGGCCTCCTCCAAATGACGAAGTGAGATCACGACTGGAACGTTTACAAGAACTCAAACAGCTGAGAGAGAAGAGAGAGAGTACACAGTCTGGTACCCTGCCCTCGCGTACTGACAGCGGGGACTCGGAGGGGACCAGACTCAGTCGCCGACAGCTCCTCAATACCAGGACCTTACCAACGAGCCGACTCAGGGAGAAACAAGGAGAACGACTCAAAGCCACCCTAGAGAAGAAATCACAGAGCTCAAGTTTGTCGCAGGAAACTAACAGCAGGGCTGACTATGGTGGAGCCAGACCCAAGAATTTCAGTACCTCACTCAGAGGAAGTTCATCAGAAACGTCAGAAATCCTGGCCTCCATCAGGAGGAGGGAGAACAACGGCCTCACAGGCAAGGAAAGACAGAGGACAATATCAGCAGACAGTGATACATTTGATGATCATGAACCAAGTAATAATGTGTTAAACAGGGCAACCTCGGCAAGGCTCACTTCTACTGGAAGTCCGGGTTGTCCTGGTGATGAACTGGAAGCTGGCGTCAAACCGCAGGATGTGAGTGTTGAGTCGGAAAGTGCGGATCATACGGAGGACATTGAGAGCTTCAAACAGAGTTTGTATGGTACAACGAAGACAAAAACAACCCAGCAGGGAAAAGTTCTAGTGCCATTCACTGATCCTTCTAGTTTAATAGACTCTTCTAAATTGTCAAACAGGATAATGACTTCAAGTAAAAGTGAAAGTAAGGGGAAATTGGGAGACTCTGCGAGGTGGAGAAAGAATGTTCCTCAAAGTAAAGATAAAACTACTGTGCTGAATGGTGAAAAGTATGAAACTAGTAATGGACTAGCTGATGTTAAAAATGGAGGTTTAGATTCCAATATGGAAACTAGCACAGTGATGTCAAGTTTGACTTCTGAGAAGTCAGAAACTGTCAGTGAACAACAAAGTGAAAATGGAAAAGCACTAGTTTTTGATGGTGAAAGTTTGACTGTGACAGGGGAAGTTGAAAGTAACACTAAAATTTTACTAGGTCATGACAATGTGTTATCTGAACACAGCATTCAAACTGAAACTAATGGTGAAGTTACAGAGAACACTGATTCCTCAGTATATGGATTATTAGATCAAGTTGTTCATGGATCATTTAGTGTTAGGGAGCAGACATCTGATTTCAGTGTTCCAGGTCCTGCAGACAATTCCAGTTACAAAGACAGCATTCTGAATGAGAGTGACAGCATTCTGAATGAGAGTGACAGTATCTTTGACTCGAGGTATGAGGAGAATTTTGAGGAGGAGGACACATTTCCCGACAGAGACGCCTGGCAGAGCAATCGCTGGGGAGGAGAAAGTACCACTTCATACAGGAGTGCGTGGCAGACAGACAGACAAAACTTTGATAGGAGCAGTGGATATGCTCCTAAACAATCCAGACGTGATGTTCTGACAGCCAACAGGACAAAACAACCTGCAACGAGAATCACTAGGTATGCATCCTTACCTAGCAGTGCAGACAGTCGTGTGTCTGAGTTCAGATCAAAATATCTCAGTCGTGATTACTCAGAACCTTACACAAGCTCATATGGAGATGACAGCAGCACAACGTCATATCGAGAAACGAGACAAGAGGACATATCCAGTAGGCTGGGAAACATTTTGAGTGATAGCTTTAAGAAGTTTGACAGTGTTCTGGATGGGAGTGATGTACAGAGGAGGTATGAGGATTCCTCTAAAAGTTTTAGGACGACTGAGGACCAACCGAGGAGCGTACGGAGGAGCTATAGCCAGAGAGGGGAGAGTGACACCGAGTCCAGACTCGGGCGATTCAGAAGAACGAGTGAGACAAATAACGACACTGACTCCAGACTCGGTCAATACAGGAGAACCAATAGTGACAGTGAATATAGAAGTCAGTATGACAGTCCTACGCCTCAACCAGATCTTGGTATGACTGAGTTTATTTCAAACATTCGCAGTAGAATGAGTGGGATGAACCCAGTGAGTGAGAGTCAGAACAAGCCACTAGCGCGATCGGGCGGAGTCAGCTCAGTGTTAGAGAATGCCAAGAGAATGTTACTGGGTATTACAGACGAGCCTGAATTGAGTGATAGTGACGAGCAGTTCAGAAACATGAGACTTCAAACAGAACAATTGACTGATTCCCTACTTCCAGCAGAAGATTCCGGAGATATAACAGAGCCACTGATGGAATCTCATGCTCCTATGGAAGAGAATAAATATGTGTCTCAAAACTTAAACAATGGAGAAATTAGTGAGAGTGATGTTCAGATGGTAGAAGATGAAGATAATGTTACTGAAGTTCTGCTTGAAAAAGGAAATGTTATTCAGCTGACATCTGAACTTGATAAACAATTGGACAATAGTGAAAAAGCGAGTGAAAATATAAAGTCTGTTCATCAGGATGGAGAAATTGCATTGATCAATAAAACAGCTTCTAACCAATTACAAGTTCACGCAGAATCTGTGGAAAATGAAGCAAAAGCAAAAAGTTCTGCTAAAGTATATAAAGCAGAACAATTAAAAAACTCTGAAGTTGATATGGAGTCAGAGAGTGCTAAATTGGAGAAAACAACTGACAACAGTCCCAGTCCTAAGAAACAAAATTCAACCAAAGGAAAGAATAAAAAGAAAAAGAAAGGAAAGAAGAGGAAAGATTCAGAAAATAAATCTGACACCTCCAGCAATATTGACAGTAAAAGTCTAGATGGCAAGAAAATTGAGATTTCTCAGAGTGAAGACATTCTGACTGTAACCATAGAAGACTCCACTGCAGTAGAAGATAAGCAGAAGGAAACAACGGAATCAGTGGGAGAACAGCTGGAGAGCATGATTAGTGACATTGACCACAGAAGTGAGAAGACGTCCGTGGCCACAGAGGATCTCCTCTCTCTGAATGGGAAAGAAGAGGAAAGCGAATCAGGGTCGAGCAAAACTGAGAGCAGTGTCTCAAAGGCAACATCTAGCAAGTCAAGTGATGAAAGCAATCAGACCACCAAGTCCCAGATTCATGGGGAAAATTCTGTCGCAGTGAGTGAAGAGGATTTGCTTGCTGCGACAAAGAACAAGGAAGATGGCACGGACAGACTTGGTCACCTTCAGGCTGATTGTGAACAGTTTGAAACTGCTTCTGAGGAAGAGTTTTATGAGGCAACACCAGGGGAATATGGAGATGAAGAGGGGAATGTGTTTGTAGAGCACAGGGAGAAATTCATATATGTGACTGGTGGATCCAAAGTCAGGAAGAGAAAACTCAGCAGAAAGTCTCTACTTGGAGAAAAACAATCCGAGGAAGTGAAAGCACAAGCTGATAGCTCTAGATTCGGTCATGTCAAGGAATGGATGGAAAGTCATATATTTCCATCCAATAACACAGTGCATGAGAAAGACCTTGGTGTGAAATCTAGTGACCACGGAAGTCAGCTGTCTGTGAATTCTACACTTGGTGATTTTGATTCTAGAGGAAGTCTAGGCAGCAAAGAAATGTTGGATGAGGGGAAGACAATTACAAATGACTCTATACACAGTGGTGATACTTTCAAGACCAATGCTGCGCTGGAGAAGAGGGATATGTCTGTACAAACTAATGTGTCCTCATTGAATACACAGAACATTGGGACTCAGATGTTAATTAAAGCTAGAAATATAGGTGTGCAAATTGATTCAGAACTTTATGATAAATTTGTTCAGACTCTAGGAGAACTTGTGTGTCCTTGTTGTAACAATATAATTAACATTCAAGAAGGTTTTATTACTTCTGCTAAAGACAGAGATGTTCAGAAAATTAAGGAAGAACTGAAGTTAAAGCTTGGAGTAGAAAATGAAGGGCAAACCAAAGTGGAAAGATCTATTTCATCTTCAGACACCAGTCCCAAATCAAAATCTTCCTCATCACAAAATTCTGTAACAGCATCTCCAAGAAGTCCATCTTTGACCTCTTCAGTGAAACAGAAGCAAGTTGAAAAGGTTCCACCCATAACACTCGGAAAACAAAGTCCATCTACCGTCAAAAGAAACAATTCTGTAAGAGAAATGACCACAAAGAAAAGTCCAGCAACCACTCCAAGAAAGCAGAGTCCTACAAGAAAAAGTCCAGCCACTACACCTAGAAAACAAAGTCCAACAAGAAAAAGTCCAGCTACTACACCTAGAAATAAAAGTCCAACAAGAAAAAGTCCAGCCTCTACACCTAGGAAACAAAGTCCAACAAGAAAAAGTCCAGCCTCTACACCTAGGAAACAAAGTCCAACAAGAAAAAGCCCAACCACTACACCTAGAAATAAAAGTCCAGCAAGAAAAAGTCCAGCCACTACACCTAGAAAACAAAGTCCTACCAGGAAAAGCCCAGCCTCTACACCTAGGAAACAAAGTCCAGCTAGAAAGCAAAGTCCATCTAGGGAAGATGCAACAACACCAAGGAACAAGAAAACTTCAACAAACTCAGCTGGACTAAGTAACGGTGAAGCAAACAAAGGGAATTCTAAAGTTAGGAAAGAAAAAGTGTCCAGTGTGCAGGATCTCCTCTTTGAAAATGGTGAACAGACAACTGAGAAGAAGCCCGAGGGCAAGAGACGTCCAACTACACCTAAACCGGGAAAAAGGGAGAAGACGCCGGACAGAAAGAAACGGGAGGCATCTGCAGAGAGGCGAAGTGATGATGATGCAAGTGAAAAGAGTGATTTGCCTAGTTACATGCAATCAACAAAGTCCAGCAGGAGGAAGAAGTCGATAGGGAACAGTGAGGAACTGTTGGAGGAGAATAAGCAGAAGAAAGGGATGCCCACCACCCCAAGGAAGAGCGTCACAGAGGAGGAGCAGGAGGGATTTACCACGATGAACGACAATCCTTTCGTCCGGAGTGATCGTCAGCGAACTTCTTTAGGACCAATTGGACAGGGAACATCAGGAAAATGGTATCGCAAAGAACCACTGAAGGATGAAGAGGAAAGCAAGAAAGGTAAAACACGTACACCGAAGAAACAGAGGTCCTCATCCGTATCATCAACAACATCAGAGAAAAATGTGGTCAACGGAAATTCTAAAATCAATTCTAAAAATGTCCTAAAGAGTGATGAAAGGTTGGATCTCTCAGGTCTGGGGTCACAATCAAGTCTGCTGGAGACAGACCTTGATGAGGCGATGGGGTATAACAACAGTGGAGGAAATCTAGACTCAGATGACACCCAGGTCTTCATCGATACTATTCCATTTACTAACAGCCATTTTCTTGGACCTGACTTGAAAACCTATGCTGAAAATATCTCTAAAAACATTGCTGAAAAAGAAGTTTTGAAGCTTGAAGGTGACAATAATCAAAATGAGAACTCAGCAAAATCCAATGTGAAGCTCTCGCTACCACCACCAGGGGCAGGTAACTCCTACCAGCATCCCAGTGATCAGTTTTACTGACTTTGCGTTGCTTGCCATAAAAATATATCCAGAGCTTCATTGTTACCTGCTTGCCAAACAATTATCCTCAAGCATTTTTTTTGTTATGTTTGTTGCATAAAATCAAGATGGTATTTTCTCTGTGATAACTATATTTTTTTCTTCTTTGGCTGATTTGAGCCCAAAGCTAAGGAAAATCTCTAATTCCCAAAGGTCAAGGTCATGACATTTTAAATTATCTGACATTTGGTTCAAATGTCAAATACAAATTTCCCTAATCTTTAGACAAGTTTTACCCCCACAGGGTATTCAAATTTCACAGACCCATCTTGTTGTTTTATGATTCAGCTTAAATTAATGCAATGTTGTTTAATGCTTACAATTTTGCAGAATTTATTTTTTTATATATATATACTGGTATAAATATATGCAGTTTTATTTCTCTTATTTGTATTAAGTAAAACTGGTCGACTTGAGTTAAATTGATGTTTTGAAAATTATTACAACAATTAAATTAAGAAACTCAATGAATAGGTCATTAGACTAACATAAACATTAAAATTACATTAATGACAAAATTTAATTGTGACCAGTTTTGCAGGCTTGTAATTTTCCACATGGCTGATTTTTTTTTTACCTTGTTGAATACATGAAAAAAATGTTACTAATAATGTACAAGGAAAAGTTAAAATTGTTGGTTTTATTAAACAATTTCTATCAGTTTATATATCATGTATTATCCAGATTTCTAACAAGAAATATTAATTATATGTATTTGTGTCAAGAAGCGGTTTATGTGATACTAAGTGTTGTTTCGGGAGAATTTTTAGCATGTTTGTGTCTACATTCCTGCATTCATTATGTTCCCCTGGGGATTTCTTTTGTTAAAAAAATAAGTACATTTCAGTGACAAAGTCACAAAATAATGAACTCCTTACACAATTAGTCATGGTTTTCTCCTATTTTTTTATTTATTGTTACATCATATTGTCTGTAAGCTCCATATAAATCAAAATATTTCTTTCATCCTTAAGGTTAAATTGTCTTTGCAAAACATGTGGAAAATAAGCACTGAATATGAGGTGAACTGAGTTTTGATACAGTGAAATCAGCCTTTCTGTTAAATAAATGAAAAAATATTAACACTCATCCTGTAATAAAAATTCATTAAAAGACCCTGAGGAAAATATTTTTGTTTTCATTGCTTAATTACAAAACTGAGATATTTGAGGTCCACAAAAAATTATTTAAAAATATGACAACAGTGCATATTAGCCTTGAATGTATAAAATTAATACAGTAGTTTTTATTCATTCTTTAAAAATAAAGAATCTCATTTAAATTAGTCCAAAAAATTCATGAGTTTTGAAGAGCAATTGCTGCATGGGATGATTAAAATAAGGGGAAAAAATTCTTTGAAATAATATTGCAATACTTTTTTTAATTACCAAAATCCTTACTGAAATGCCTTGTTCTAGGTTTCGATATTTTATTTCTCTAGAACAAGAAACCAATAAGTATGGTTGTCATGGTTACACCCTTTTATCTAAAAGTAGAAAATATACCATATTTTAAATCTTATCTTGAAAAAAAGTCCACCCATTATCTGTGATAAATCCTATCAATGCATGTACATCTAGATTTCTTTTTATTGGAATGTACTTGCAATTTTTAAAATTATAGGAATTTATACAAACCATATTTAGATTGTTTTTCATTGATGAATAAATGTCTATAGTGTTTGATATTCTTTGGTTAAATTCTATAAAGAAAAATAGCATGCAATGCAGTTTATTTGACTTGAATGTGTTAAAGCGCCTGCATGAAAATAAAATTTGTACTTGTTTTTTTTATTGAAAATCTGAAGAGACCTATAGTGTTGGTATTGAATGTGTGGGAGAGTTGTGTTGTTAGATATGTTAATAATCTATTGCTTATTCAGCCATCACTGCTTTAGACTGTCTGCACATGCCAATTTTATGCCATTTTTATTACCATTACGACTGAAAAATTAAAATGATATGACACTCCGAACATCTAAACCTGTTTTTCTTGTTTTGACCACAAACGGAACACTCTTCAAGGGAAATAACTCCCAATAATATGAAACGCTGGTTTACTAAGAAAAATGATAAATTGTCAGTGCTTGATTTGGAGATTTGCATGACTTAAACTTTGACTTACTGCTCATGCATTCTGTTTTACTTTTCGGTGATGATGCAACAAAGAAAGTAGAGAAAAAAAGGCAACCATGGGTCTGACTCTTTTGTAGAAAATACAGAAAGGCATTTTTCACAGAAGATTCATAAAAAACCTTAATTTAACATACTGTTACCACTTAATCATTAGGTCATCAAGCCATGTCTGATCAATGTATCATGCAGGGGAAAAACAAGATCTAATGACTGTATTAGCTTATACATCTAGATAGACAGGAGAAAAGGATTTAAGTAACTTACTAAAATGCATTATTAACTAATAAAAAGTTAATGTTATATTCTGTAAACAAGTTAATGATTAAATTAGTTGTTTACTTGTTATTCATGTCAAACATCATTAAATAGTGAAAGTGCAGTTTTAGAAATAAATCTTTATAATCCTGGATTTGATATTTGTTTAAAAATTTGGTTCTGTACATTATCCAGACTGAGTATTTTAGTATTATTATGATGCACTGATAACAAACTATCCCAAGAAAGAAATAACTGCAGCCTATAGTGAAGCAAATGAGCTTTAAGCTTACTTAATGGGCTTCATACTGCTTTTATCTTTAGTTAGATATTGGCCTTGCACTTCATGCACGGTCCATATGCTCTCCTGTGAACTGTATATGCTTTTCTCATTGTGTGAAGGTAATTTAATAAATGGCTACATGCTTTTATGAAATTAAAGTTCTCATGGAACAATTATAGAAGTTCAGTAAGATAAAAAATTCATAGAAGCTTTGTGTTTGCCATGCTTTCATGTGCATGTTGTATAAAGCATCCTCAAAAAAAAAAAGTAAATAAAACTTAGTAATTATATGGACACTCAATATAACAAAGTTATACCACGAAGAAAGAATACATCAGATATATGTTTGATGAATCATTATACAACTTAATTATACAAGCTGGAGGGTATTTTGTGATCGAGATGTCCGTTCATCTGTACGTCTGTTAAGCTATGGGGTATCTATCGCTTATCCAGAACTCCTCTTATACCACTGAATGAAATGACACTTTCTCAGAATCTTGGTTACATAGTGCTTTCGTGCACATCCTGTTTTACTTTTTGATTGGAAACATATTTGGATTTCTCATAGCAAAAACATTGAATTTTTTTTTATTAGGGTAACCATCTCTTATCAGCAACTCCTCCTTTACCCAAAGCATAACAGACAGATGCACAGACAACCAGAGGACAGACAGACAGACATCCTGATCACTATATACCATTTATACCCTCCCACTTGCAGCAGGGTCTGTAATGAATATATTCAGTGTTTAATCTTTATTAGTGTAAAGTAATTAATGCCTGAAGTTTAAGCTACCTCCTATGTTGTACTGGTAGCTGCAGACTACAAACAGTATTGGACCAAGCATTACAGTAGTATTGCTTTACATGCTCAATTTTTAGCTGTTATTGCTCCACTTGCACAGCTCTATAATTTGTATAAGTTCAATCAAGTGTATATCCTTCAACAATCCTTCAACTTCTAATATCACTGGAGTTTCAGGTGAATGAAATAATAGCTCTCTAGTAAGTTTTCTCTTAACTGGCTAATGAATAAAAACAGTTTGTAAAAACTTTCAATTTAAAAAAAAGGATTCATGAATTTAAGTGTTTGAGGAGGAGTAATAAACGTAAATTTTATTTGTTTGAATAAACAGAGTCTGAGGAAAAAGAAGCAGAGGTCACACAGACTCTTGATGGCAAGGAGGATGCAACATCCAGACAGAAGCTTCTGAGTGAAGAGGAGCAGGCAGGTGTTCCCGTGGAAACAGAAGAAGGAGAAGATGAAGTGGCTCCTGTAAGAGTCAACCTCAGCAGCTGGGATCCTGTAAGTCACAGTAAACGTACTAGATAATCTGTCTATCACATGAGCTGGGATCCTGTAAGTCACAGTACACATGTACCTAGATAATCTGTCTAGCACATGAGCTGGGATCCTGTAAGTCACAGTAAACATGTACCTAGATAATCTGTCTAGCACATGAGCTGGAATCCTGTAAGTCACAGTACATATGTACTTAGATAATCTGTCTATCACATGAGCTGGGATCCTGTAAGTCACAGTAAACATGTACCTAGATAATCTGTCTATCACATGAGCTGGGATCCTGTAAGTCACAGTAAACATGTACCTAGATAATCTGTCTATCACATGAGCTGGGATCCTGTAAGTCACAGTACACATGTACTTAGATAATCTGTCTATCACATGAGCTGGGACCCTGTAAGTCACAGTAAACGTACTAGATAATCTGTCTATCACATGAGCTGGGATCCTGTAAGTCACAGTACACATGTACCTAGATAATCTATCTAGCACATGAGCTGGGATCCTGTTAGTCACAGTAAACATGTACCTAGATAATCTGTCTATCACATGAGCTGGGATCCTGTAAGTCACAGTAAACATGTACCTAGATAATCTGTCTATCACATGAGCTGGGATCCTGTAAGTCACAGTACACATGTACTTAGATAATCTGTCTATCACATGAGCTGGGATCCTGTAAGTCACAGTACACATGTACTTAGATAATCTGTCTATCACATGAGCTGGGATCCTGTAAGTCACAGTACACATGTACCTAAATAGTCTTGAAGTCACAGTAAATGCATAGATAGTGTAAACATTTATAGATAGTGTATAAGTCAAACCAAAGATGTAGATAATCTGTCTCAGGCATGTAGCATCGTTTTTGAAAGTGGGGGGGCCAACCAGAGACAATTTTTTTTTTTACTTACCCGTAAAAGTTGAAAGCAAAAAAAAAAAGGGAAATTGCCCACACTCGAAAATCCTATTTCGTGTGTGTGGGGGGTGGGGGGGGGGGGGGGGTGTTGATGGTCAACTTCTATTAAGGCCAACTTCCTTTCACTCCCAATTTTTTGCATACAATACTACATTTCCTTGATATCACTATACTTTGGTAAGAAGTGGGGTGGGGTGTGGGGGGGGGGGGGGGGGTGTTGATGGTCAACTTCTATTAAGGCCTACTTCCTTTCACTCCCAATTTTTTGCATACAATACTACATTTCCTTGATATCACTATACTTTGGTAAGAAGTGGGGTGGGGGGGGGGTGGGCTACCAACCTTTCAGTGGACATTTTCTATAGTAAATGTAATGTTGGGAAAAAAAAACATGTCCAGCTCCAATAGAATATTTTCCTCTATAAATCTTTGGAAAATTTGTTCCTTTACAGTGATCAGAGGTTCAATAGAATGCTTGATGAAGATAAACTACAATCTTTTGCAATTCCATGTTGATTAAAAACTGAAACATGGGGGAATAATTCTTTATTTCTTTTTAACTTTATATTTTCAGACTAAGTTACTGAAGGATTTGTATGCAGTCCAGCTAATGCCAGATGTAAGCAATTTTTAAGCTGAAAATTATAACCAATATTTTTTTAAAGACTACTTTGTTTGAAGCTTGATATTTATTACATGATGATGCAAATAAAAAAAAAACCTCAGAAGTAAAACACAGCGTACAGTAAATTGTCCACCCCTTTAACTGTTTGTAATGACTTCCAGGATGCCAAGGACATCTCAGATAAGTTTGTTGCCATGGAGGGACTGATGGAGAAGCTTCCCATGAACAAGAAGAAGGCGACACTGCTGAAAACGTGGAAACGCAGATTCTTCCGAGCGAAGGATGGCTGGCTGTATTATTACGAGGTCAGTGGTAACACATTTAGCATTCTATTGATCATGTCACTGTTTACGTGTCCGATAGAAGTTATGGTCAACTTTGGCCTTGAGTGAACTAAACTATAGTCCTTGTCTTTATGTTATTCAGCAGACTGTTTTAATCTCTTTTTAAGACGAGTAGTCGAGACAAGCCCAGTGATACACTACAGCTGATGGGAGGAAAGGTGGACGACCTCGGGAACAGGATTCTGGGAATTGATGACGGGGTATGTGGTCAATTGATGACCATGTCGTACATTCAGTAGCTTTTGATTTCTTCTCAAAATTTTACTCAATTAATAATAACTAGTATACTGTATACGTAAGTTTGGTAATTGAACTTTAGATACAAGTGATGATTTTGTTTAGAAACATAGATTTATAATATTAGTGTTCAGTTTAGTTTTTCTGATACTTGACAGTCTTTGTGATACTTATTATAATTTTGTTTTTTTGACAGTTTTTGTTATACTTGTTTTTGCTCTGTTGACAGTTTTTGCATACTTGTTTTTGTTCTGTTGACGGTTTTTGTGTTACTTGTTTTTGTTCTGTTGACAGAGAGGGAAATACCTGATGGTTCGATGTCCGACAGACAAGGAGTACGGCCAGTGGAAGTTAGCATTAGAGTCACAGACTGCGGACAATGTCAAGGCCACTTATGTACGACCAGTGTTGTCATGTCCCCAGCATCCTCAGAAAGTAGGTGTTGTCAGAGAAAATCCCAAAGTTTTACTGACTACTGTGTACATGGTTTGCTCCACTTTATTTTCACCATTTTGCACTGGCAAAGAATTTTGCCCCGTCTTGAAGAAATACGCACGCTAACTCTCGATTCCCGCCTACATTTTGGAACCATTTAATTCAATAGAAATAGTAATTTGGCCATAAAATCTTTGTTTAATACAAAGAACAGTTCAATGGTAATTGATGAATTGTCTTAATACCAGTGCTTAACGGTAAATTATCCATAATTCCAGCTCTTGAAGAAAGGGGGGTAGACAATATTTTCCATTGAAATCGGAGTTTCAAGCATCACCATATTTTGAAATTTGTCTTGGATATGATTAAATAAATATATCAATTCATATCTGTTTCAGTTGTTAATCGCAAATTGGTGGAAAATAAAACATAAATATATCACACAAAAAGCTTTGGTATGAATTTGTATAATATTTCAGTTGTTAATCGCTTTGAAATTGGTGAGAGGGAAACTTTTTTTTTTAGCATTTTTAATTTTTGATAAAAGTCATTTTTGTCAATACATTTATTTTAAAAAAAGTTCCCCCCCTGATTTTACATAGATCTGACACTATATTTCAGTGTCACACAAAAAAATTGCTTTGGTATAATTTGTGAAATAACATTCCATATTACCTGTAAAAAGGAATTTTTGTGACACTGGGGGGAAAGATGTTTTAAAAATATTTTCCATTTTCCGTTGATTTCTATAGTGAAAAACACAGGTTTTACCAAAATTTTAAAGTTATCTCTCTTTGTTTTACCCAAATAATTAATGTTAATTGAAAATCCATATAATTATCTATAAAATATATTAAAAATTTATCTAATATGTTAACTTTTGAAAATTGACTTAGAGGTAGGCGGGAGAACAATACTGTCCTTCGCAGTTCTTTGCCAGTCAAGTTTTGTTTAAGAAATGGTACTGTATTCTTTGAATTCATCCCTTTTTAAATTCACCCAATGGAGAGTAATGTGAAGGGGCGAAAATAAACGGGTGAAAATTCTTCAGTATACTGTATAATTTATATTATTTGTGTTCATGAAAGCAAGAAAATATCATTATATACACGCCAAAGAACATTATTATTTGCATGAACTCAAATACCAATCACCATGATTTGCTGCCTAAGAAAAACAAAGGAGAGTAATATTTCCCAAATACAGTAAAACTCGGTTATAGCTAAACAAAGTCACTGGGACCTGTGAAATTACTTCGCTATATTACTTCATTATACCGTATACAAAAGACATGAAATTTAAAAAGCTGGGGATCCAAGATGACTTTGCTATATCCATAAATTCGCAATATCTGTGTTTGTACTAAATAAGTTTTGCTGTATAAATCCTCATTTTGAATAAATTGTTCATTCCATAAAGCAATGTCAATACCAAATTTTGTCATCTTAAAGCTTTAATTTGTTGTTGAAAGTCTTTTTTCTTATGTGCATTTCATGCTTATGTTTTGTTTAATAATCTTGTTAGCTGTTACTAAATACAAGCTTGTTTTTTATGATTGTAGAAAGTGATCCTGATAGACATAGGAAGTAGTGCCATACGAGCAGGAATTCTGGGAGAACATGGTATGTCACCATAGTAACCTATCTTAAGGTGTCCCCTCACTCCTATCATACAGTTTTCGCTGTTAAATATAGATGTTCTCTTTCTCTAACCACAATCTTACCATTCACAGTATCTCAGTCAGTAGAGCGCTTGCTTCATGATTTGGAGGTCATGAGTTCAAATCTTAGTGAGATCTCTCACTTATCATTGGCCGTAAGTGCCAATTAAAGGTCAAAATTTGAAGCCCTTCACAGCACAGGCACCTGACGTTACTTATTTTTCTTTTAATAAAAAATATATACCCTTACCTTATAATAAACCAAGGTCCCCAACGCCGCCATCTTGAATTTTTCTAGGTCTGCCACATCCACTTGTATTTTCGTCTAAAACTCCGTCAAATAAATTCCCTTCAACCATCTTCTTTCTGTGGCCAGTCTTTCGAGGTCTAAACTTACGGACACTGCAGCCAGAAGGGCGCATCACACTTGCAAATATTAAAAATCCCTCGTCAAACTCGATATACTGCTTCAACAATCCGAGAAATCGCCAAAGGGGGGCCGGAAGTTTACATACAACTTGAAATTCTTAAGGAAAGCCCTTTTTTGATTGGTCAATATATTTGTACGATTTATTTTTAAAAATAACCGGCGAAAGTTAACTACTTATTCCAAAAACAATAATTCAGACAATAATACAACGTAATATACATGTAAGAACATTCATTTTATTTTTCTCCGAAATAGTTTCGATATGTACAGCTTGCGATTATATTTATCGGCCTGATATCATGCTTGCTGATCAATGAACATTTTTGAGACAAAATATTGAGTCGGGTATAAGTCCCTACTTACATGCACTAGATATAATTAATAACACAGTCATTATTGTTGCCCTGATTGAGCGCTATCCGTGGAGAAGATTGACTTTGTTTATTTAAAGTATGTACGCACGTGTGTGTGTGTGTGGGGGGGGGGGGGTCCACACTAAAATTATTCCGGGGAGTGTTGAGATCTGCAATTTTGTTTTGCAATAAAGTAGTGGCATGGCGAAATTTTTATTTTGTTTTGGTGACGTGACAGATTATACATATACATATTGCATAAGCTAATTGCATTCCTTACATATTCTTTTATCAGGTGCATGTATCCCCTCCCCTTTTTCAATTAAGCATATGCCAGGTAAATATGTATATACACATGTATATATAACTAGGTGGTTTGCAGTCTATTGTTTTTGGAAAACCATTCAATAAACTCTAGATGATTTATTGTTGATTTTTTTTTTCAATCACCCCCCTCTTTTATTCAAGATTGTTTCGAACGCAACGATCTGTATAGATTAATACAGTATATTTTACAGGTATATTCATAAGAAGTGTTTAATTTTTCCCATTTTGCAATTTTTTTTTCATTTCAATAATCGAATTATTTATTAAAATTTCAAAGTAATTAAAACACACCGCTTTAGATCCACCACAAAACTGACAAATACGGAATTCCCGTTAGTATTTTGATGTAAATATGCGATTTCTCGGATTGTTGAAGCAGTAGATCGAGTTTAACGAGGGATTTTTAATATTTGCAAGTGTGATGCGCCCTTCTGGCTGCAGTGTCCGTAAGTTTAGTCCTCGAAAGACTGGCCACAGAAAGAAGATGGTTGAAGGGAATCTATTTGACGGAGTTTTAGACGAAAATACAAGTGGATGTGGCAGACCTAGAAAAATTCAAGATGGCGGCGTTGGGGACCTTGGTTTATTATAAGGTAAGGGTATATTTTTTTATTAAAAGAAAAATAAGTAACGTCAGGTGCCTGTGCTTCACAGGTATATGGTGATGTCTCTACATGAGTGAAATTTTTTTGAATGGGACATAAAACCACATACAATCAATTAATCAATCTAACCACAGTCTGTATTCTGTTTTTTTTTTTCTGAGATAAAATATACACTTGTTTATCATATGCTGTATGAAAGAAAGCCTTAAATTCTGTCTTATTATCTAGCTACATTCCTGGCTCAGTTTTCCTTTTAAATGTTTTATTATTTTAGCTATCTATGTCTGTTTTATCTTTCTAGCTACCTTGCCGACTCTGTTTTTCCCTAACGTGGTAGCCCATTCTGGTGACAGTAAGGAGCTGGCTGTAGGAATTGAAGCGTTTAAACCAGAGTACAGGAAGACGACGTCTAAAACTGTCCACCCCACGGATAAAGTGGACAAGGTATGAGGCTTACACAGGAGCTCTACCCATGTCCTCATATAGTCATATTTAGAGTGAATTTACACATCATTTGTAACTTGTTTTGTGTTTCATTTTGATTTCTGCCATATTTTCATCATTGAACACATATTCCTTTTTTGTACAAAGAAAGTCAACGCTAGCCATTTTGTTTCTTTTTTGTACAATCATCAGTCATTGTATTCAAGTTTATTTTATTTGACTTAATTATCTGATTTCTATTTTAGTAAAGGTTAACCTGTGCTTTATATAAAAGATTTTATGATTTTTCTAGGATTTTTTGCGACCTGTAAGTTTTGGTGACCTTAACCTCTGACCTTTCTTCCTTTACTGCTTGTAAAATATTTATATTTGCTTTAAGGAATGTTCACAGCACCAGCATTATTCCTAAACATGTTCAGCCTCCGAGAGTTCCCTTCAATTCTTTATCCAGTTCAATTTTCCCAGAATGCATCACACAGAAGAGAGCCTTTCAGACCCTTCACTGAATATTGACACTTGTATCATTACACAGCTTTAAAAATAAAATGAAAGCAAGTCATGTTCTGTTTCCTCACACATAGACAAGTCTATCAGATACATCATGTACATGGGGCATTATTTGATTATGCAGGCTCCATGTTTACCTACAAAACACTCCTCAATTAAACGTGAACAGATTGTGTTGATGTCATTAGTTAAGAATTCATGTGTCATTTGTCATCATGCTTCATGCTTTCAAAGTCTAACTCTTCTGTCATTTGCTTATCATCCTCATCTTTTACATGTGTTAGTGGTGTAAGGTAGAACTGTTTTATGTGTATTGGTGTTTCATCTAATGAATGTGAGTAGTTGTCAAGTCTCAGCTTCTTGTCATATATCTAAGCATGTCATGTTTATTTTCCAGCACATCTTATATCTAAATTTTAAAGTTTGAAAATCTCTGATTTTAAATAAAAATTATATTATTAAATGATTCACACATTTTGACACAAATAAACTGTGTGCTGCCAATGGTATTAGATTTCAACTTCAGTGATTATTTCTATTTTGTTTTACAGTTTAGTATTGATATGTCTACAATTGGTGCTGTATTCAAAAAAGTTTTCACCGACCTCAAAGTGGAACCATCTGAATACTGGGTAGGGAACCAGTCAAATTTCATCCAGAATCAGAAAATGCATGAATTCTAGTTAGGCTGAAACAAGCCAGTTGTCTAACCAGATAATATCAATGTTAAAAAATTACTGCTTGGTAATATAATTGTGAGAGGAAATTTGCTTTTGACACAATTATGAATAGTTAGGATGAATATGATTTTATGGAAGACCGTGACAATCTCTATTGAAACATTTGGAGATAAAACCTACTTGTACCATTAGATCTGTCCAATGTTTTGAGTTTTGTGTGATGTTTCAGCTGATGATCAGCACCCCTCAGAACCTGGGAGATAAGATCCGGGCTGGACTGATGGAGACACTAATTGATAAGTACGGTGTTCAGGGCGTGTGTATGGTGATGCAGTCACTTCTAGCTCTCTACTCCTACAATGCCACGTCTGGAATCATAGTAGACGTCGGAGAAAGGATGGAGATCCTACCAATCTATGATGGTTTGTTGATTTCTTTTCCAGGTTAACATTAAATAATTAATTGTATGTATTTCTGTTTAGGTAATTTTATATTGTTTCATGGGACAAAAAAGTATTATCCATAAAAATTTCATATTGCTAGCTGTTATTGTCACAGTTTCAAAAAAAAAAAATTATTGTCTGGTTCCTTAATAGATTTAAAATTATTTTTAAATTTGGTTATTGTTGCAACTGCTTTCTTCAGGTTTTGTGATAGAGGGTGGGGTTTCCAGGCAGTCGTACGGAGGTCAAAAGGTCATAGAATCTCTGAACTCCTGTCTCCAGGGTTACAACTTCTCCACACCGATACAACAGCTACTGGTCCGTTACGTCATGGAGCAGGTAAGGGAGATAATCAGGATCGTAATAAGTCTATATACAACAATTACTGGTCCGATACGTCATGAGCAGGTAAGGGAGATAATCAGGGTCGTTAGTAGGTCTATATATAGGCCTTTCAACTACCACTAGGGGATAATCAGGATCGTTATTAACTATATACTCAATGCTGAAACTTGTTTAGAGCAGGTAAGGGGTATCTAACTGTTTACACACAAGGCAGTTTTAGCATTTCCCAGGTGTTTCTTTGCTCTCAATAGAATTCAGTGGTTTTAAAATTTAGCATAAATGTTAAACTTATTTACTGTATAGTTGCGGACACCGTTTAACTAACATATAATTAAAATTTTTAATTAAAATAAAAAGTTAAATTACCCTCCTTCTTAGTTCTAACCTAATAATTTTTTTATACTCGGTGGTTCCCATTCGTGCTTAGTAACACAAATAAGATGATCAATTGTTGCATTTACTTGTTAATATAAATATATTTATATAGGAAGTGAAAAGGCGCGAACACAAAAAACATGACATTTAAATTTCTTCCTATAATAATCATCAAAGAGAGTTAAAAATGTTAAATATAGTCTGTTTCTCATTCATTTGACCCTGTTATTTCAGGTAGAATGAACGCATTCTCTTTCTCTTGGTCAACACTTTTGTGTACAAAACAATGTAAGGTTTTGTGTACATAACAATACTAATGCTGGAGCAGCCTATATGTCATTCCTATAAACGATAACTCATAAATCGGCACTTAGTTGGTCATATTTCACACCTGAGTTACCGGTCCTTAAAACACGATATCGGAAAAGTCAAATAAAATGATTAAACTTTTAAATAATATAATTAAACGTATGCATAAGTTATTACCTTTTTTGATAATTTCATGTACCTATAAATCAATCTATACAATGTTTTTAACCATATGTGCAACTTGAAAAATTAGTTGAAAGGCCTACTATATACAACAATTACTGGTCTGATACGTCATGAGCAGGTAAGGGAGATAATCAGGATCGTAATAAGTCTATATACAACAATTACTGGTCTGATACGTCATAAAACATACTTAAGTCTGAGATAATCAGGATCGTAATTTTCTATATACAAAATTACTGGTCTGAGCGGCCGTCATAAAAAGTTGAGAAAAATAAAAATTCCTTAAATTCTTTTATTTTCAAATTCTCAGCTGAGTAATTCTCAAGAGTTGAGTTGAGAATTTTTTTGAGAATTCTCAATAAGCTATATACAACAATTACTGGTCCGATACGTCATGGAGCAGGTAAGGGAGATAATCAGGATCGTAATAAGTCTATATACAACAATTACTGGTCTGATACGTCATGGAGCAGGTAAGGGAGATAATCAGGGTCATTAGTAGGTTTATGTACAACAATTACTGGTCCGTTACGTCATAAGTCTATATACAACGGCAACTGGTCTGCAACCCATGGAGCAGGTAATCAGAAAAGTGAATTTGTCTACACAGTTAGATTGTTATACAGTATAATTTATTATACCAGTGTTCCCTTATTTGTCTACAATAATAAATTACAAACTTTGATGTTCTTCCTATGGTTGAATCTAAATTTAATTGTAGACAACATTTTAACAGTACTGCATCAATACAGTGTTCTTGAAAACTTTTAATTGAAGGAGAGGATGTTTTAGAGATCCCTGTTTGCTCTGATACTCATCTGTATTGTTTGAATGGATTTTGAGTTTGAATACTGTTCTTTATCTCCTTTACATATTTCATGATACCATATGAGAGAAAAATTTAGGGAGTTAAAAATTATTTCATAACATGCAGTGTATATCAATATTTGAGTTATTTTTCTCATTTGTAGTCACTCCACCTTAAGAATGTTTGATTTTTACTGAAATTTCAGTCCTTATCTTTTAATATTTAACTTTCATTCCTGTTACCAGATTAATTATATATTTTTTAAATATTTAACTTTCAGTCCTGTTACCTAGTCAATGATTACAAGGAAACCCTGAAGAAATGTGAAGAGGACCCAGACAGTTATAAAGCCACTGTTTACCTCAATAACTTTGATCTTCCAGAGGGTGCCACTATGTAAGTATCTCTGTGTGTGTGTGTGGATATCAATATTACTGATAGGTCTATGGTTTTCAGTCTGTGTATCAGTATAACTGATAAGAAATCTGTGGACCTCGGTCTGTGTATCAGTATTACTGATAAGAAATCTGTGGACCTCGGTCTGTGCATCAGTATTACTGATAAGAAATCCGTGGACCTCGGTCTGTGTATCAGTATTACTAATAAGAAATCCGTGGACCTCGGTCTGTATATCAGTATTACTAATAAGAAATCCGTGGACCTCGGTCTGTATATCAGTATTACTGATAAGAGAATCATGGACCTCAGTTGCTGTGTCAGTGTTACTGATAAGAGATCCCTGTATCTCAGTCTGTGTATCAGTAATACCGATAAGAAATCCTTGCACATCTGTCTGTTCATTGATACACATTGTATCAGTGTTACTGTTCAGGGATTCATGATCAAAGAATATGAAATAAGAGTTGAAATGTAGGCAAACTAGAGAATATAAGAATACCCCTGTTTCTGTATTTAATGATACCTGGCTGTCAGTGTCCACTCCTGCATTATTTTCCTTGACAGGGAGGTCACCCATGACTACAGCTGTTTTAAGAGTCCGGAGGGGTTCTTTAACACCGACCTGTGGGGGATGGACTACCCCTGTGTCCACAAGCTAGTGTTCCAGGCCATCCAGTCCTGCCCCATAGACAGCAGAAAGAGAATGTACAGGTAGGCAGGGACAAAAATCTAACAGAAATGTCTTCATGTAATGTGTATAGGCATGTACTAATATTTAACTTTTACCTTTGAATGTGACATGTTGCATGCTATTTACCTGTATATATGATGTGTTTTACCTGAGGTATATATATGACGTGTTGTATGGCTATTTACTTATAAGTACGATGTGTTTTAGGGCCATTTTCCTGAGTGGGGGTGTAACCAGGTTACCAGGATTTGCTGAAAGGTTACAGTGTGAACTTCAGAAGTTAGCTCCCCCTTCTGTTATGGTGGAGGTAAGACTTCATTAAGGACATGTTATACAGAGGAAATCTTTGAATCGTATTAAATGTCGCCTTATTTCTATACATACATGTAGCTAAGTCAGATCTTCATTAGGGTGTATTTGTGAGGGATAATTTTTGATACCTTGATTTCTATTTTTAGGTACATGCCTCCCCCCAGAGGTATCACAGTGCCTACATTGGGGCCTGCTCTCTGGCCAACATGGAACAATTCAAGCAAATCTGTATCAGTGCCGAGGAATGGAAGAAAGATGGAGTCAAGACATTCAAAAAGTGGAATATGGCGGGCTGAAAGGCATGCTGGGAGAAATATTTAAGTTGAGGGTAGTTCTCAAAATTTACATTTAATATTCCTTTACATTTCCATTGATCAATAGTTTGTGGGATTCCTGCACATATCTGGATGTTGTTATGAAATACAATTTTTTGGTATTTCCTACAAAATAATTTTTCTGTGATCCTTTTGATTAACTGCATTTTTTGATTATAATTATTATCAATATATTATATTTATTTCTGCCTGTCTGTAATATTATCCTTTTTTTAATGTTTTTTTAATAATCTATTATTTTGACTGGAGACTTTTATTGTATTGAGAAACTTAACCAAAGACGTTCACATTTGTAATGATGATATGAAAATGGACCATTTTCAATAAGTCTTTGCTATTTTCTATGTTTTTCTATAAGATGGGATCTTTTATTACACATTCAGTGCACACTGCCATCTTGAAAGGCTGCTGTTTATGTGTTCTGAATGATTTGTTAAATTTGTGTGCACTTTGATAAAAAACACCAAGCTTGTCTTCCATATCGGTCATTTAATGCTAACAGTTTGTGTAGGTTGTGTTTTATATTTTGTGTTTCTCAGTCAAGTGTTCCAATGAAGTGTGTGTGCTTTGATTGTGTAAAGCAATTTTAAATGATTCTTCTGTGTGGAAAGCATTTCAATCTGAAATAATTGAGGAAATTATTTTAAAAAACAAGATACTGAAAATTTTTTCCAATTGAAAAATAAGCATGTTTGAAATATTACATTGATATACATACTAGTAGGAGGAGATAAATCTGAGGATTTCTTATACTCAGTGTGTGTCTTGCCAAAAAGAGAACTTTTCCTAGATATGAATAATTCAATTCCCTTGCTAGTAGAATTCTGGTCTCTTCTTCATAGCATGATTGGAATTCAAATGATTGTATATATCAACAAATCAAGCATTTCTTGAATGTATTTTCAATTTAGTTCTTTTTTTCCTTATACCATATGGTGCATCAGACAATATTTTGGACTTGAACTCTGCATAGAAAATTATCTTCATATATCGTGTTCTTATTGTCCAAATCATGGTTGTCTTTTCAATTTTTTTAGTTTGCAGTGCCACACTTTCATTGCAAATTTAAGTATGACTAATTTTTTAAATGCTAAGTTGGATTTTTTTTGGAAAAAAAATGATTATGTTTATAGGAGCTTTCTACTAGAATTACACTGTTGTTACGAGGGGTGATCAAAAAGTTCACGAACTATCTCTATATCTACAAAACCATAATTCAGATTAGAAAAAAATTTGGTACACACATAGCCATACACAAGTTCTATAAATAGCATATGCTGAATAAAGTTTTGCTCCTTGTTTGTGACGTCACAATGTAAAAATGACGTCACTACGAGGGTTGTCCCGTAAAATCGTGGACAAAGCGTTTTTCTCGAAAAGTAATGGGCGCACTAAGATGAAATTTTCAGTAAATGTTTTTTCATCATATTTAAGTGTATCATAATGTTTTTGATAATATATATACAAAAATAAAGATTTTATTCTGCCCGAATGTGCACAGGGTACGGTCCTATGGCGCACGGTAAAAATAACAAGGTTGTATTAGAGAATATACAAGTATTAATTCGTAATAAAAGTTTTCAATACATAAGATTAGGATAAAAATTATCCTAATTCGATTTCTTAATCAATTCTATCGTCTTTTTGAAAAATTCAAGGCATTTGTTTAATTTTGGCTGTTTCCCGAGCATTCGAAATGGAAAAGTTGTACACACAATACACGAAAAATGGCGACGTTTCAATACGTTACGGCGCACCGTTCAGTTAGATATGTTTTAATGACACTTTCAAAGACTTTAAATGAATACGGAAGAACAAAAATATGAAAAATATCACCAGATTTTTAGTATACAAATAAAATGGACGTTTTCTTAGCGAAGTCTTCTTGATTGATTCCCCAGATAGTACAAAAAATGCGGACAGACTGCCATTGTAATAGTAAAAGACGCTGTCACTGTCGACCGTCGATATGAGATTCCCATTTAGTTGACTGATGGTTAGAATACTGTCCGTAACTTGCTCATAAATATTCAGAAGATCGCATGAGTGTGCCACATTGGTTCCTTAACTGGTAATAAATACTCACGTATGTAAATCAATAAAATTTCTAAATTTAAGTGGGGTTTATCCAACTTTATTTTAGCAAAAATGAAGCGTGACGCTGTTTTAGACACGTCGACGTTATCATCCGTGCGCCGTAGGGCGCTACAGTACATAACATAAAATATCACAATTTGTTTATTTATGCATATATCTATTTGAAATTTGCTATGTATATTTATAATAATATATGTACTAAAAAGTAGCGAAACTTTCAGAATGCAGTGATGATTATTTTTCAAACTAGACAACTTGTCCACGATTTAACGGGACAACCCTCGTATGTAGGTCACTTGTGACAAAAAAGTGATTGTGTCAGTCGTACTCGTTCAACGAAGGACTGTAAAATTTATGGTATATCTTACAAAATCCTTTACAGTAGCGTATAATAATTTGTACACAGTTTATTAAGACAAAGGATTTCCTATAAATTTAAACAATGATTGGATTGGTCATTTTAGTGAAGGATGGCAGATGGTTAAAAATGATATTTGTTACGTTGCCCAGTGAAAGCAAGTTTGAAAAGACGTGTTTTTAATTCAGCAATTTGATATCAAAGACCTCCAATTTACACTTTGCCAAATAGTTGAATATCTTAACAATGATATAATTATTAAATACCTAGGATATTGTTTACTTTAGATTTTAAACATATTAGATATGATAAAAAGTAGGCACCCATTCTCTATCCACCTTGAATAAACGTCTCTCAAGAGACGGAAGATTTGGGTTTTGGTGGTCGCCATGCTTATTTTTGGAAAGGATATTCTTATCCACCCATTTTGACCATTTCTGACAAATGAGCTGTTTTTGTAATAAAAATTAACTTACACGGAAAGAAATATAAAAGTCAGAAAAAACTTTCAGCTTTTGTGACAGAACGCTAGGGAGGGGGTCACGTGATCGCCTATATCACGTGATTCGGGCATGGGCAGAACGGTGGCCGACGTGCATTAAAATCAGAGAGGGCTGATTTGAAATAAATTCAACACTGAAACCAAATATTGTTTCTTACATGAAAGTTATTCAATTAGTTTGCGAACTTTTTGATCACCCCTTGTATTTTGATTTACATAAATTCTTCTAGTCTTTTTTATGGTGATTATCAAGCAGGACAAAATGTTCTCTGAAATGCTTCAAAAATGTCTCCTTCTTATTTATACTCTATAAAACACTTATATTCAGAAAACATAGAATTGTAAGTTGTGTCTAGATGCAATAATATTTTACGTATCTTTTTATGATTAGTCATTAATTTATTTTCCTGTAAAATATAAACACTTTAACCTTTATATAGGTTACAAACATGATCATAAATTTAGAAAATTAAGAAGAATTTTGAATGTAATTAACTTTTTTTTCTTGAAGAATAGAAAGTTCTTTTTTAGAAAAGTTGATGGCAGTTGATTTATATACTTTTATATATGGACGTAATTTTATATGTTGATGCGAAGGAACAAAGCAGTAATCTGAGATATATATGAACTGTGCCAGGTGATGTATTTGTATTGTAGCTATTTACATGTACATGTTGTGGCTAGTTGGTGATGAACTATTTTTTGCGAGGTTGTGTCATTTTTAGCAATATTACTCCACGCCAGTGAAAAATGTCTTTATCTACATGGTTGTGTGTGTTTTTTGTGCAATATATCTATTTGGCCTTGTGATATTGAGATGAAATGCTGTTAACATTCCATACACACAGTTATATGTGATGTACATGTGACTATTTACCGCATTATTCCAAGTTATAATTTTTATTATATATACATATACTAAAGGAGACCATTTCCTGATAATTTTTTTTTTATTGTTTCAGGATAAATTAACATTATACATATAGAATTCAAAACTAATTGAGATATCATTCCATTTATGTTGTATACACATACATTACTTAATTGTATTTTACCATTTTATATTACATTTAAAACACAGCAGAACTTATAAATTTAGTACATTTGTTGGGAATTATTCTGTTATTTTAACTTCCAGTACTTTGTAATGAGTAACACACTATGCTACACATTTTATTTACTGCAATAAATTGTAAAAATGAATGATAACGTATTTTAAATATCTTTTTAGGACTGTATATCAAACAAGAGACCCAAGCGCCTTATAGGTCACCTGAGTATCATGTAACAACTTTCCAACAATTGAATTTGATTTGTGTTTTAAACCCGAGACCATGAAATTCACAATTTGTAAAGAGGCACCATTGCTTATCATAACTATACACTTAGCATGCTTACTTTTGTTACTTAATACCCAGAGGTAGATCAAAGTAACAAAGGGAAAATGCATTTCCACTTTATAACCAGTTGTGCACCCCATCCCAAAGGAACTACTGACCCTGGGGCCACATTTTTAAAATTTTGGAAATTTTATCATAAATTTTATTTCATCATAAATGGTTGATTAATACCAAAGAGCAGATTTCAAAACATTAATTTATTTTCAGACTATGTACACCCCCCCTCCAAGTACCCCTGACCCAGTGGCCCTGAAATTCATAAATCCGGAAGAGGCAATTATCTTCATCACAAATGTGTACTTTGATCATTGGCATAATACTCAGGAGCAAAGGAAAAGATTGTCAAAGAATTCATGCATTTTCATTATATAATCATTAGAACCCTGCCCCAACACAAGAACCCTTGAACAAGGGGCCCTAAAATTCACAAATCTAAAGGAGGCATCCTTCCTCATCATAACTGTATACATAGTTCATTGGTTTAATACTCTGGAGCAGAAAAGAAGATTTTTAAAGAATGTATGTATTTTCACTATATAATGAATTGAACCCCACCAGAACCCCTGGCCCTGGCCGGGGCCATGGGATTCACAATTTTGGAAGATACATTCTTGTTCATCTTAACTATGTGTTTGGTTAGTTTGTTTAATACTCAGGAGCAGAGATTTTTCAAAAAATCAATGTATTTTCAGAGCCCTATCCTAACTCCAGAACCTGGCCATGGGGCCATGAAATTCACAATTTTGGAAGGAGTATCCTTAATTTGCTATGTACTTAATGGTTAGTTTTTATAATACCCAGGAGGAGAGAAGAAGATTTTCAAAAAAAAATAATGCTTTTTCACTATATAACCTATTCTACCCCGCCCCAGTACTAGAACCTCTGAACCCGGGGCCGTGAATTTCACAATTTTGGTAGAGGACTCGGTGCTGATTACAATCATACCAACAGTTTGTTTGCTTGATGTCCAGGAGTAAAGAAGAAGATTTTTAAAGATTGCATTAATTTTAGAAGTTTTGCCCCCCCCCCCCCGGCCCCAAGGGGGCAGGGACTATGAAATACACAATTTTTGTTCTCCATCACCCAAAGATACAGTACTTTATGTCAAAAATTGGTTGAAAATGGTTCAGTGGTTTCAGAAAGCTGAAAATGTTCAAATGTTAACACACGATGACACGAGAACGGATAGCAATAGGTCACCTGACCAAAAAAGAATAAATGTATTTTGAAACATCATGATATTTCAGGGGAAAGAAAAATTGTAGTTTATCCAAGTAATCAAAACTTCTCATTTACAGGTTTCAACTTGCATGTAATTAATAGGTTTTATTCTAATGTAAATTTTAGTTTTAGTTCATTTGTTGATTAACAAACAAGATACAGAACTTAAAGTTCTTCGTAATGTAAACAAGGCTCGTGCCTTGTTTTTGTTTACATATATAGAAAATATCATATTTATAACAAAATGAAGTTCAGCAAATCTGTGGTAACTGTCGAAACGTATTTAAAATTCACTTTTATTTGAAATTATCTTCTTTGAACGAACATATATTAGTATATTAACCTGTGTAAACAAAAACATGACATTAGCCTTGTTTACATATTAACAAAGAATCTGTCTTGTATCTCGACAACTGGTGTTCATATTTTTGATGATCATTATAAAGACCCTAGTTCAATATTTGTAAGAATGCAAAAATAAATTTTGAAATTTTTAGCTGAAACTGTTTCCATGCCCGTTTAAGATGAAATTTCAAACAAAAATACTGCATATATATTCTGGAAGCTATCAGCAAATACAAGGTGCACACAGGGGTGTGACCGGTCGACAGTTGATGCTCACTCGTCCATGGCACCTGATCCCACCTCTGATGTTTTAGAGGTCCGTGTTTGCTCTGCTCCTATATTGTATTGTTTTATGGACTTTGATGTTGAATACTGCTCGTTCTCTCCAGGATATCCTTCATCGACCACGTCAGAGTGCATCATTAATTGATGTATTTTAAATCCCTACGTCACTTACTGCAAACTAAGATTGTTTGTAAAATACATATAGAATTCAGGATAGGATTACGATCTAGTTCTAAGAAGTACTTGTTTCTTTAATATTTAAGGGGTGTAATATATTCTTTACTTTATTATGTGGCGTGATGAACACGATTGCATGACACAAAGGGGAAAAACTAAGAAAGGTAAAATAAAATGATAAAAGGAATCGCAATAAGATGAATAGTAAAGAAAGTGAACAGTATATCATTCTACTTCAATATTAAAGATTTAATACAGACCATCGGAATCATCGCAGATAAATCAGGGGCCTTGGAGGAGTAAGCACCCCCTGTTAACTGTTTAGACCAGCATCGGTTTTTGTATCAATTTTTGATAATTTTGATTAACAAGATGTAATACAAAAATAAAATTCGTCCTGTTTGTATGATCTCCATATTTGTGTACCCTCCCTCTTGTAAGGCACAAACAAGGATTGATTGACCATGCAAGAATGATTTATTTATTCCTTTGTTTATTTTTTCAGGAACAAAAGTTTGTCATTTTAATATATAATAACATACAAATACAATGTTAATGTTTTCTAAAAATATTACAGATAAATTCTTATGAACTACATATGTTTTATTTTTCTTAATTACAGAACTGTTACATGTGTATTGTATGCATCTCAATGAAACCCAAATGCAATTTTAGATATGTATATATTTCATTGATGGGACTAAATATTAAAAAAAAAAAGCTTAAATATAGCTACACCTGTATGTGTATGATTAGTAATTATTCCAAACATTTCACTTTAATGTTTCGTTAACAAATAGTTTAACATTATTTCCATTGCTGAAAACATATATATGGCACTTTGATTTTTATTTGTAGAAAAGGACCATGGCTCATTATGCATTAAAAAGTAAGCGTTTTATTTTAATATCATTAAAAATGGAAATGATAATCCAACCAAATGAGTAACAGCTTTACAGATTTAAAGAAAAGATAAATTGTACAATCTAAAGAAAACACAAATGTGTCCATGCGAAATGTAAATAATTTATGGGTGTCGTTAAACGGACTTTCTGGGAAATCACGACCGAGACGGACGATATCTTTATTAAAAAATCTAATTGTTTATGACAATAGCAATGTCTTCTTATTATCCTTATATTAACTAGAAAAGTCTAGTTTCTTGAAAAATTAAAAAAACCAAAAATACCGGTAATTGTTTGCCCCGAGAGATGATTTTAGATAATGTATAAATCACAATCGTAACCCCATACTCCCTATCTCTCTCGCTCTCATCGTTGTATCCATAATTACGGTCTTCCTGTCTCCTGTTTTCCCCGTAATACCCTCTCCTCACATACCCGTCACCGTATCTCTGCTTTCCATACCCGCCATACAAGTCATAATCGTAATCTGAGTTATGGCGGAAATAACGGTACCTATAGTCGTAATTGTAGCGGTTCTTTCGGTTTTCTTTAGGTTTGAATGATAGAATTCTGTATTCTATCAGATCCATGGTAATGTTCATTTCCCCCTTCCTCTCGGAAACCAATTCTCTTTCCTGACGGGCCTCTCCTATTCTGCCCTTCACAAATTTTCCGTCTCTTTCCAAGCCCTCTCTACCTTAGGAGCTTCCATTACTTTCAGATCTGCCTCCCTATCATCCCCTATAGATCCCCTTTAAGGACAGATGATACAAACAAAAAATGGATGCCTGGATTGATATATAGTTTATGGCCTTATTTCATTGAAATTGATGCAAATAATTAATTTCTAGAATATAAAGAAATTGTAAACCTTCTGTGATGTTCAAAAGTCTGCCCTTCTGAAACCATCCTTATTAATCTATACAAATATTTTTCACTTTAATTTAAATTTTTTCCAAATTTGAGTAAAAAAGTAAAAACTACGAGGTGAAAGTTATTCATTTTATTTATTTAAACATGACCCAAGTTGTTATTTTCTAATTCTTTGACAAAAGTCTGTTTGTATCATCTGTCCTTAATCGTTTAAATCTATTTTAGTCAAATTACAACATCAAATATAGCTACTGAACTGTAGCTCTCCGAAAAAAATATATATTGACAGACCGGATCAATGCCGTATGCAGGTGATGAAGGTACATGTGTATATTATTGCATAAGTAAGGGAATTTGACAGTTGAAAAGTTACAGTCATCACGTTTATCACAGAGCTTGGTGGTTAGATTACCATTAACCTCTCTTTTTTAAGTAAAATATCCAAATATGAAATTCTGCTTCATATGAATACAAAAATAGGTCTGCTAATAACGGGGCGCAATTGATACCCATGGGAATTCCAATAGATTGTTGGTCTCAAAAACAACATAGATATTGTCAATCAGAAACTCAAGCATCTTTTTGATGTGAACTTCTTTGCCAGTTCATTTCTCTGCAAGTGTATATATATATGAGTGCGTTCCTAGTGAATGTGTACTCCATGCAATTCGGAGTTGGATATCTTGTGTTATTTTACTAAATTCAAAACATTATCACAGAAACAAGTGCCTGTGCGAGTAACGTATAGTATATACATGTACAAGAATGACATATAAGGATGAAAGAAACTTCATCACCTTCATCACCTGCATACGGAGTATATATATCTCAGTTGATTCGATACGCAAGAGCATGCTCTACGTATGAACAATTTCTTAAACGAGGTAAATTATTGACAAACAAGTTGATGAAACAAGAATATCAACAGTCTCGTTTAAAGTCATCATTTCGTAAGTTCTATGGTCGATACAATGACCTTGTCAGCAAATACAATTTATCATTGAGTCAAATGCTGATTCTTTTCTGACGTTTTTCATACCAATTGTTAGTTCATTATTTATACACTGAATTGACGACGGATTTTTTCCGTTATTTCCTGATCATGATAACGAGCACACGGCGGGTGTGACCGGTCGGCAGGGGATTTCACTCAAAACTCCATGGCACAAGTCCTCTGATGTTTCGGAGGTCCGTGTTTGTATATACATTTTGTAAATTGTATAATGGACTTTGAGATTGAATACTGTTCGTTATCTCCATATCCTTCCAAGTAGGGTAAATTTCATAGGCACTTCTTTCGGAAATGATTTTTTTAACCCATAGTATAATGTGTTATTATTACATGTATTATACTATGGGTTAGAAAAATTATTTCCGAAATAAGTGTCCTTGGTAAATTCTAAACAATTGCACGATTTCGCCATTATCCATGAATATATAGACATATAACAACGTTACATTTACCTTTATCTCTATCTTTGTTATACTTATGACAAATTACTCTGTTAGAAAAATGTGGGATATAAAGAAAAAGTATTCAATGCGACAGGCTCAAAAATCTTTTGAAACAATGCAGATCAGTAGCAGATCAAACAAGGGCCTCCACAACATTAGAGGTGGGATCAGGTGCCATGAGAAAACGAGCATCCCCTGTCGATCGGTTACAACTGCCTTGTGTTCCTTGTCACGATCTGGCAAACGGAAAAATAATCCGTAGAAAATTCATTGTGTAAATAATGGCTAACAATTGTTGTTATATAATCATCAGTAAACCTTAATTTATTGATAGATTGTAGTTGCTGATTTGGTCATTTCGCGGATCATAGATTTTCATAAAACTTTAAGAATTACCGATTTTGACGCGATAATATACTTCTGAACGCAACAAATTTTTTGGCATGTGAAACATTAATGATGCATTAGAATTGTGTCAGTTTGGGTGTCTGCCTTCTTTGTTTCTTATTTGTAGAGTTGGGTTTTTTTTAATATTAAATCAAATTTCAAATTTAGCCATGAATCATTTATTTGTCTCCTAACTTTAAAAAAAATGTTTTGTGCAGAATATCAATTTTCAAGCTGTTTCCTTATTTTTTTTATTTTACAACTATATACATCAAAAATGAAGAAGCAAACATATCAAAAACTACAGGGGAACAGAGTAAATCTTAAAAATATAGAAACGTTTGTTTTTTTAAAGGCTATAATGGCTCAGTATCGATATCACAATTCTAAGACACGACTCCAGAATAAAAACGAGAAAAAAAAACATATTAAACAAAACTACATAAAAATCATTGGAATATAAAATCACAAGAAGAGTATATATTTTCATTATAACATGAAAAGGTATTTTTGTGTTGTTATTGAACATGAAACGATTTGTTAAAAAATCCCTAAAGATAGGAAACATAGGAGAGACGTCAACACTTCGCTAAATGACATTTTCCTCGTTAGTTTGCTGGTTCAATGTTGACAGAGACTGTCATGGTCCCACTTCTAGGGCTTCCACGCGAGGGGTTATCAACACCAACAACAATAAGCGTGTAGCTGGTACCACAGGTGCTGTAATCAATAGCATTACTTGTGGTTAATATTTCATTGCCGACAATCTGAAACTTCGGAATTTGATCATCTCCACACTCAATGAATACGTCACTACACCCAGTAGGATAACCTTGATGATCCTTGTCAAAATCTGTGCAGTCAAAGCGAGCCACAAAAGAATCTACAAAGAATACCAATTTATCTTATTATTTGATAATTAAATACCTGTAAACATTGCTAATATAATATAGATAACACTAAAGGAGAAATACTTGCAAAGATAAAACGACAATTGAACCTTTTTGGCAAATTTAAAGTATCCTCAAACTTAGGAATAAATATCTAGGATGAAGACAAGAATATTGTTAAGAATGATTTTCAGGCAAGTGTGAAAAATCAGGGATCAAAAGATTTGTGCAAAAAAGATGGACGTTTTTCATACTAATCGTCTGTCCATTATTTATACACTGAATTGACGACGGATTTTGCCGTTATTTCGCGATGATGACAAGGAGCACACGGTGGGTGTAACCGGTCAGCATGGGATGCTCACACCTCCATGGCACCTGATCCTACCTGTGATGTTTTTGAGGTCGATGTTTGCTCTAGATCTACTCCTATTTTGTATTGTTTAATGGCTTTTTGACGTTTTCCATACTAATTGTTAGTCTATTATTTATACACTGAATTGACGACGGATTTTTCTGTTATTTTCCGATCACGACAAGGAGCACACGGCGTTTTTTATGACCGGTTAAATTTATGCATATATCGGGATGCTCAAAAGTTCTTCTCCATGGCGCCTGTTTGGAGGTCTGTTTGCATGATCGGGGAGGAACGGAAAAATTCAATGTCAATTTAATGTATAAATAATGGACTTACAATAAGTATGAAAAACGTCAGTCAGCATTTGACTCAATGATAAATTGAATTTGCTGACAAGGTCATTGTCGTGATCTGGGCATATAACGGAAACGTCTGTCTACTATTCAGTGTGTAAATTATGAACTTACAATTTGGGTATGAAAAACGTCACAAAGTATTCGACCTACTGATAAATTGTATTTGCTGACAAGAATATTGTTTCAACCATAAAAATTACAAAATCGTGATTTTAAATGAGACATTTCATATTTTTGTATCATCAACTTGTTTTTCGATATTTGCCTAATTTTAGAACTCTTTTGTATCAAATCAACAGGGAGAAACTCCGTATGCAGGAGATGGGGTAATAGAATATTACTACATACTAGTGAATAATGGAGCTTCACAATAGAATTGCCAAGTAATCACGTTGATCATAAATTTTGATTTCAGGTTAACATAACGGATTTTTCTTTTTTCCCAATAATGACAATGAGCACACGGCGGGTGTGACCGGCCGGCAGGGAATGCTTACTTTTGCATTACACCTGAACCCTCCTCTGATATTTTAAAGATCACTGTTTCCTCTGCAATATTGTTTTAATGTACTTCTGAACTTGAATACTGTTCCCTTCCTATATTTCATCAGGAATAAGACTGCCTGGTACTTAAAAAATGTGCGTTTCCTCTTTTCCTATTCCTTAATCATTGTTAATTTATAATTTAAGTAAATTTTGAAGAAATTTCAACTCTCTTTGTACAACGTTTAATACTATATCATTGATTTTCCTCAGGATTTGGTATCTTCTTCTGTACATGTTAAAATATATGATCATTAAATATTAGCGATTCACTGAGTGATTTCGCTACCTTGTGGAAGTCTTTCCTTAATGTATACTGTCTGAGTTGCGACACAGAATTGTGGATCATGTTCATTGACTGGCAGAACGTTGACAGTAATCTCTGGACAATTTTCTCCATCAGAAGCGGAGGTACTTCCGTCTCTCACCCTTTCATTATGTCAAATATATTTTTCTAAGTAAATTCAATAATTTTATATCTTGGTATTAACATGAGCCACAATTAAAGAATAAAAAAGTAAAATACACATATTTATATTTAAAGCAACAGTTAAAAAATAAAAATTTTCGCAGAAGATATAAATGAAAAAAAATATTGACATTTACCATACATTGTTGACAATATGTTGAGTTGCTTGTTCAAAATCCAAATGAGCTTTCACAACAAGATTTCTACCATTCAGTGAAAAATATGGGTCATCTCCTCTCATGTAGTATATAACTCTGTCTCCATCGGCATCAAATCCGGAAATCGTGTAAATAGTAGAACCAACATATATTGTCTCCTCCGTGGAAACTGTAGCGCTACCAAGCGACGGACGCACACAAACGGCTTTAGTTCTTGTTCCAACTATTAATTTAATTTTGATCGTTATAAAAATATCTCTAAGATCTCTATATGTTTCCGTCACAATTAGTAAGTGTGTATAATATAAGACTACAATTATAAAGCCTTGTAGCAACTGCTCCGAAATCGCAAGTTTCATAAGTTAAATCTACAGATCTTATTCATAAAATAATATTATGATATTAGTCTCAGAAAAGAAACAAAGATGTTTCAAATATACTCTCTGAAAACAATGTCATTCATGTATGTGAAAAGAAAAAAAACCCAAAATTTCAAAAATCTGATTTAAAGTAAACAACTCCTAGAAGTCATTGAATTGAAGTGAACACATTTCATTGAGAAAAAATTGAAAGGCTCGATCAGTTCTAATGCTAAAAGATTAAAAAAGGAGACGGTTTTCTCATTTTACTACATTTTATCAAATCGTCAAAATATACAGCTCAACGCACTTTTTAAACTCACATGGTTTTTCGCACAAATTAAGGTCACATTGTTATAATGCAAAATTGTGTAACGTGACAACAAAATATATTTTAAAAGTGAATTATAACTTAATTTTGATCTTATTCCTTTACTCTAAATATAATTTACACACCTTTGCCTTGCCTAAATACAGAAAAAGCGCAGTTCATGTAATTTTCGTATTTCCTGTACATTAATATGACACTAAGGCGTAAGATGATAGAAGTATTTCTCATCTATTCGACTATTTCAGTGTTAAAAGATGATATTTTTTCAGGTTAACTCTCTGAAATCTAGCATCATGAAAGATACCTTCCAACGCAAAATTTCAAAGTTTCAGATCCTAAATGTAAAAGAATTTTCTTTTCAATAGTAACAATTTAATTTGTTGAAAGATAAAAAATACTTTATTATCATATCCATTGACATGATTTCTTTATGCAGTTTTGTCATTTTTTGGCGCTGCATTTCGACAAAACCAAGACAAGTAAGGAAATTCTGCAAATTACGTAGAAAAATACTCGTCTGTAAGAAGTCAATTTGAACATTTCAACTATATACCGGTAGTATCAAAGAAAGTTCGATTTATTAATTTGTGAATACGTATGGTAGAATCATACACATGTAACATCACACATTTTTTAAACACATTCCCTTTTAAAACATCGAGTTTTTAAACTTAAGGTAATGATTTTTAGAGAATATGCACCTTTAACGTAAAATAATATAAGGGTTATGTCTCGTACTGAAGTTCGATAATTTTAAGTTTTATTGCAAGAAAAATGTGACCTTAATTTGTGCGAAAAACCATGTGAGTTTAAAAAGTGCGTTGAGCTGTAAATCTATGTAAATGAATGTTTTATATGTAGACTTCTACATACGGGTAGTCGAATTCATAGAGAAAATATTTTTTTTCTTAAATATTTGCCCCTGCCCATGCAATTTGAAGAACATTAAAACAGATATGTGCCTAGTACAAAACACTCGAAACGATTTTTTCCCTTTAATTTCTGGCTGCTTGAATTTGTAATGATTTAGAATTGAAGACTTTTCTTTACTTTGTATTCTTCATATTAAATATCTGTTATGTTAAGCAAGTGCTTTGTTTATATATTTTATGTGTATAACATGCTAGAAGATATGTCCTGTTCCATGCAATTTGTAAATGTTATTTTTTCTATTTCTAAATATAAATATAAAACTCAATTTGAAAGAATTCAATATTTCATATTAAAAGACATTTTAGGGGTCCATAAAAAGAATCTAATTTAGCTGTCAGAGTAGAGTTTGGGGCCCTTCCTATTATTTTCAGAATATATAAATTGCGAGTATTATTCAGATATTATTACAGAAAATTGTTTCGGACCAAGAAAACTCCAGCTTGTTTTAACATCATGCATATTTAGAGGATGAAAAATTTGCAGGAAATGGAAAAAACATGTTGGCAAAACTGTATACAAACTATACTTGATAAAGTCTTTGTTTCAAATGCTAATACATTATCAATAAATGATTTTGAAAATAATGTGAGAAAATATTTTGAGAATATAGTTTATAGGGATATAATAAATATCAAAGAAAAATGTAATGGCAAATAATAATTCTACGACCAGTTTATACGTCAAGGAAATCTAAACAAGCTTGAAATTCAACCATAATTAAATTTTTCCATTTGTAAGAAATTCTTCGTTTTTTTTGTTACTCGATTAAGTAAATCACAAATTACAGATAGATATTGGCTGATGTTATAAGCCAATTTTACCAAAAGATGAGAGACATTGTATTAATAGTCAAAGTGCTGTTGAGGATGAACATTTCTTTTTGTAAGTTCACTCAATAAAAAAACTAAGAAGTGAATTTTGAACTTTTTAAAACAATACATGCATATCTTATGATATTCTTAATCCAGCAAATGTTAATTTAACAAGAAATATTCGTAACTTCATATGTAATGCATTTAAAAGGAGAAAATCTCTGTAACTAGATATATGTCTACTATATGTATGTCTTAATTGCGTCACATGTGGTTTTTATCAAATTAAATAAATAATAAATGTACAGTTGATGCAATAAAACAAACTAATGTAAAAATAAATGAAATAAAAGGAGCACCTGTTCCATTAAAGCCGTTTCTCCAGTTCTTTGTTGTGCAGGATGAGTTTTTATTGTCGACACCTGATCGCTCTAGTCGGAGAGAGACAGTGACGAATACCAAATGGAAACCATCAGAAATCTGAATCATCACGTTGTAGACTGGACTGTCAACGTCTTGATAAGGATCTGGGGAGGAATAGAAAATATTGTTTAATAATGAAATATAACCCACCAATGCGTTGTATCTATAGGGTGTTGGTTATTTTTACTAACGCTCTTATATCAGTTATTGATCTAATCTTAATTTATCTTTCGCCAAACTGTTTATCTCTTGATTTTGTAATAATAAAAAGCTGCTACTACCTTGTTTCACTATCAAGTCACCAGCGTCAGATATATCAAACTTTCCTCCATCTCCAGAAGCTATCTGGTATTTGAATTTGGTCCCCGCATCCGCGTCAGTACACGTGATTGATAAAACCTACATTCAGTTTCATTTATTTGAAAACCATATACTCAGTTAGTTGAATAAAACTATCTTATAGAAAGAATAAATGCTTTTATGGGAGCTTTACGTCCCATTCCAGAGTTTTTCACTGATGTAGAGACGTCACCATTTAACGAAAAAGTTAGGCATTTAACAAAAATTCAACGTGCATCAAAATTTGGAAAAAATCAATGCACTTTGAGCAAAGATTTGAAAGTCATTATTTTGGGACAATATCAAAGCAATTTGAAAAAAAAAAATCAGTGCTTTAAGAGTGAACTGTTACAATTTTTAACCATAATAACACTTAACATGTTTTCAAACATACGTATAAAAAAACATTTTGAACTAATATTTTAGTTGAAAAGTGCCAAATTATCACATTTTTTAATATTTTTTTTGTATTTCAGCCTTTGAGATTTCTTTTATCAGTCAAGTACATGAAAGTTATTGCAAAAAGTCACCAAACTGAGAAACTTTAAAAAGGTTTACCATTTAGATTGCTTTGGGGACTCATTGCAAAGTTTATTTTTTGATACACAATATCTCTAAAATTGCCATATTGTGGTATAAATATAACTGGTATGACTTTTTTGTTAAAAAAAAAACAATATTTAGATTGCTAGTATATTTCTTTTGATGTTCTGTCATTAGTTTTTAGTATAATATCCATGGACGTCTTGAATACTCAAGCGAGTTGTGCGTCATTCTGCAGCGTCATGCATTGCTTACAGCAGTAAGAACAGTGACGTCGTGGAAGCCATTTCCAACATTTTTTCCTAATTTTTGTCGTAAAAAACATTTTGAGACCATTTGGAGTAACAGATAATGTTATTTTTATTTTAATATCACAATATTTTCGATAAGCGTACTGCTACACATATGAATGCATGAAATCAAAAAGCTGCGCAAAGCCATGCACACTCGAATTAGACTCCGTCTTGTTAAGAATATTCAAGAAATTTAAATCAAATATGGATACATAAACATTCCAAAGCACTTATGAACATAAGAGACTGTAAGAGACCTTTTATTTTCTTATACCAGATTTTATATTCTAATTATGATTACCGCTGTTCCAAGGACCTGATCTTTACGTAAGGTGATGTTTGCTTCTTTGGGCGTACAGACAGGTTTATTGTCGTTGACGTCAGTTACTGTGACGTCAGCAGTAGCAATAGATGACAGCCCTCCTCCGTCAGAAACTTTTATCCGTAAAGAGTGTGTTTTTGGTTCGGTAGATTCAAAGTCAACTGGCTTATGGAGGTAAATTTGTCCCGTTGAAGGATTAATCAAGAAGGTCCGATTCATATCATTTCCACCTAATCAAAATATTGGAGTTCTCCAAGAGTTTGCAGTTGTAAATTATTGATGCATTTATAGTGTTTCTCTATAATATCTACTGTGATGGTGGAATAGAGAACACACTATGATAAAATTGATGATTATTAGTGCCCGCAGTTATAATAATTTATATAAAATACAATAATGACGGAGCTAACAGAGACACGTCCGTTCTCTGCAGCTTGTAGCACAAAAGAGAGCGAGGATAGGTACAATACGTCACGACAGGTGCTGTGACGTATACCATGTGATCGGAGGTAGCAGGGCAATTCGTGCCCAGTACCTCCAGGACCACCACATTCCTCCCCATTTTGAAAAAAGGGCGTCCCAGCCCGTTACAATGGGACAAACTAAGAAAGAAGTTTAAAATTTAAATAGCTGCACCTGACCCCTCATCCCTGCGGGGACAGAATTCCCCAAACTATTCGCAACCGAGATCGACGGGACTGTACTCAGGGCAGATATACTGAGGCACTGTCTTAGCATAATCCTCACAAATCCCCACACACCCAGGATGGAACCAGTCCCGGCAGTTGTCGCACTGCACCATCATCCCCTTGGGATTAGACTGCAAACAAACACAATATTTTCTGGTTTTAGTTCCCCTAGTTGCTCAAGGCCTTTTAGGCGACTTGGGCTGTACGGGCTGATCTTGTCTTTCCCTAACCCGCTTACGAGTACCCATATACGGACCTACTGACTCCGCTGGCTTGGGGCTTACTTTCAGGTGACCCCTACTCCCCAGGCTCTCAGGACTTATTCCTGAGTCCGCGGTCCCCAGCGGTGCAACCACGTCATGTACAGAAGAACTGTCCCCATCTCGGGCTACTGACTGTCCGGGCAACTTTTTCTGATAATTTATTAACCATTTAGGGAGTTGCCTGGACTCGCACCTCTTAAGCTTGTCACGGTGCATAACCTTGACCTCGCGCCGAGATTTGACTACGAATATTGTGACTGACTTGGCTTCAGGTATAACCCTGGGACCCCTCCAAACTGACTCTACATTTTTCCCGCATTGCGGCGCCAGTATACCAAATCTCAGACTTTGAACTTGCTGGTACGGACCTTAATGTCATGCGACCTTTTCATTGCCTTCTGCGCGACTTTAAGTTTCTTGCGGGCAATGTCGTGCGCGCCTTGAACATTCTCTTCGAGGTCCCGTACGTATCTGTCCACCTCACCCTCCTCCCCATTTTGAAAAGACGTGGAAGGCGGTGGGGCAAACATCAAGGTTGCTGGTATATTTACTTCACGACCCAGCATTAAACGATTCGGGGTATAACCGGTATGGCGATTTACCGCGGACCGCAATGCTCCAGCCAATGGGCCTAGGTACTTATCCCATGACTTGGGCTGACCATCGACGTAGCAGCGAACTGCGTCCATTAGAGTGCGGTTATAGAGCTCTACCTGGCCATTCCCTGACGGATGGTAGGGTGTGGTCCTGGCTTTATGTATCCCTAACATGGCGCAAATCTTGCAGAACAGCTCGCTCTCGAAATTACGGCCCTGATCTGTAAAGATTTCGTAAGGATAGCCAAATCGAGAAAAGTAACTTCCGCTGTTTGAGACGGAAGCGGAATACACTCTACCCACTTGGTAAAATTGTCTACCATCATAAGAATGTATCCGTTTCCGCTATCAGTTTTGGGGAGTGGCCCGAGAAAGTCCAGATGTACCCTTTCCATCGGGCTCCCGGCTTGATAACTCTTAAGCTCGGATCTGTTCGGCAACGAACCTCGCTTGTTTCTCGCACATACTTCGCAAGTTTTGACATATATCTTAATGTCCTTTGTCATGCGCCACCAGTAGAACTGTTGTTTAAGGCGTTCTTTAGTTCTCTGGATTCCCTGGTGACCAGAGGACGGAATGTCATGACATAAGTGCATGACCTCGGATCGGAGACTCCGCGGCACAAGGAGCCGACGGGGCGCATCCGAGTCCTCGGGTTCTCGCCAAACAACACCTGACTCGTCTAGATAAAAGCAGTCTCGCTCCAGAAGATAGCACTTCTCTTCCGGACTGCAGAAAATTAAGTCGCTTTCGGCAGGTAAAGCCCCAGACTCTAAGACTTGAGGACTAACTGTCTCAATCTTGGGATTTAAACTCGACACCCCACTGACATTAATCTGAAAACTGGGTAGTGCAGAAGTACTCGCAGTCGAGGGAGTATCTTCCAAAGAACTAGAAACAATGGCCTGACGGAGAGTGGGGTCTAACGAATCACATTCACCCCCCTCAGCAGAAGGACTCTCCGCTGACACAGGCGTTTCGCTAAAGAGTTGGGACAAAGAAATTGCGTCGTCGATTTCAGTATTAAAGTCGTGCCAGCGCTCGTGGGCTCGGCGGCAATACCGGCATCCGCCGCACGGCAAGTCTTCGACCCTAATTCTCGTCGAGTACCCCTGGCATAAGTCGGGTATGTCCAAATAACCGCCAATAGCTCTTTTCGAGTAGTACAATACCTGCGCTGTTCTGAGGATAGCACAGCACTCCCATACCCTATTGTTCTTTCTTTCCCACCCTGGACTTGGCTTAATTCCCCGCCTACGGCATGATCCGAGGCATCAGTATCCAGGATGAAATGACCTGTACTGTTCGGTATCGCTAGAACTGGAGGTTTAGTCATTAACTGAATGAGTTCCTCGAAAGCATTATGCTGCTCTTCGCCCCACCGGAAACCGCTTTTTCTGGTCACCGCATACAGCGGAGCCGCAATTCTGGAGAAGTGAGGGATAAAACTACGGTGATAATTGGTGAACAGGAGAAAACGCTCTACGCCCTAAATATCACGCGGAACAGGCCAGTCACGCACTGACTCAATGTACTGATCCCCCATCTCAACTCCATGCTCGCTCACGGTTCTACCAAGGAACTCGACCTTAGTCTTAAACAGCTCGCATTTCCGAGGCTTGAACTTACGCTCGGAATCGCTCAAACACTTGTCGTAGGTTATCAAGGTGAGCTTGCGCCGAAGATCCTAGGACTAGGATATCGTCTAAGAAAGCTAAGGCGATCTTCCAGTTAAGTCTGTGCAACACCAAATTTATGGCCCTAGCGAAGGTCGCAGGGGCATTACACAGACCGAACCCCATTCTAGTAAATTCGAATAAGCCGTACTTTGTTATAAAGGCAGTCTTTTTCCGGTCTTCTGGAGCTATTTTTACTTGCCAATAAGCCGAGTTAGCGTCAAGCTTGGAGAACCAGCGGTTTCCTGCTAGCGTGTCCATGCACTCCTCGATGAGTGGCAGAGGGTACGTGTCCTTGACGGTCACCTTATTCAGGGTTCTATAGTCCACGCACCAACGGACGCTGCCATCCTTCTTCCGGACCAGAACTGGGGCGGACGCCCAGTCCGAGGAAGACGGCTGGATGACTCCGGCTTTTAACATCTTATCGAGATGACCCTCTTCCTCCCCTTGAAATACAGCGGGGGTGCGTCGCATCCGCTGTTTGACGGGAGACGCGTTACTGGTGTCTATTCGGTGTTCGATCTCGGAAAAACTTCCGAGATCAAGGCCATCAACAGCAAAGTCGTCGGCAAATTTTTTGACTAGCTCCGCTGCCTGAGATCTGACTTCCACAGGCGCGGTCTTGTTTAACTGCTCTAAGAGTGGAGCGATATGGTCATAGTTCGTATCCCACTCAAAGGTTACACGACGCACTGTGGGTTTAGTATCGTTGACTAGATCGGCGGGGACGGCTTTCCCCACCTTAGTGCCAGTCTTCACAATATGACTTCGGTCTGTCAAGTTCAAGATGCACAGCTTGGCTTTATTCCCTGCAGCGTTGTATGTCCGCGAAGCTAATATACCAGGCGGAAATATGCTAGCTGGTTCCAGCATAAACTCTGGCATATAGGAACTAAGGGTACCCTCGATAACTTGGGCAGTGTGCGGGGGAATCCGCACTCTGCGGACTGAAACCGCACCGAGTACTGGTACTGACTCATCAACACTCATAGCGAATGTGGTGTCAATGCCCTTGACCCTTAAAGTACCAGCTCCACATGAAATTTCTACACCATGCTTGCGCAGGTAATCAATTCCCAGGAGCATATCATCTTGCAGAGGATCAACATATATCGGGTGAGCAAAATCATAATCCCCAATTCGTAAGTTAAGACTCCCGAAGTACTGAGCGGTCATACCATCTCCCTCGCCAGCTAGCCTGCCTTGTAAAGTTCGCTCGATATTATCGTTATGTCGGCTGCTGTGTTGATTGTTGCCCTCACTTGTTGGCTTTCTACTCTTATCGGAATACGCCACGCCCCTGAACCGATGGTTTGACTATCGGACCTAACAGACGGAATAACATAGGTCGCATTCACATTCGGCTCATAGAACTTGACTTTGGTCTCATGGTCTGACGCACTATGTTTGTCTTTAGTTTTATTACTCGTCGACTTAAGACAAGGCTTAGGGGTCCCCGATCTACGCCTACACTGGCGGATCGGGCAGTCGCGACGCAAGTGCCCTGGCTCTTGGCATTCGAAACATATAATAGGCGCACGAGAACGTCCCCTATTTGATGACGGATCCCTCGAGGACTTCGCTCGGGACTTGATCCTCGGGTGCTGTCCTCCGAGTCGCTGGAATAGTATGTTCTATACGAGCCCCGATCCGGCGACTCGGAACGGTCCCTGCTGGCACGTCGATCAGAACGGTCCCTGCTGGCACGTCGATCCTTCATAGAGGTGCTTTTGTCATAACTTATCGACGGTCTCTTAGGGGAACTCCATTCGACGCAAAGGTCCCTCGGATCAGGTCCGTCTCTGTCTGCGACGCAAAATCGGTCCCTTGACTCTGCGCACCCCCTGCGTGCGACGCAAAGATCTTGAGACTCAGAATCTGATCTGGCACGATAATGGCCCGGATTGGGCGACTGACTGCGGTCATTCTAACGGTCTCTAGATAGGGATCTTACCGCTCATGGCCGGCGGGCTAAAGCTCTGCAACTAAGTTGATAAGTTTTGACTCGATTAATCGCTTCTTCTGCCCCCCCCCCTTTTTTCCCCAATATTACCTTTACTATAGTAAATGTTCATTGAAAGGATGGTTGCCCCCCCCCCCCCTACTTTATACCATAGTATAGTGAAATGAAGGATTGTAGGGAAAAAATTGGAAGTGATAGCAAGTTAGCTCCGAAAAAGTTGGCCACTACCACCCCCCCCCCCCGGAATTAAATTCCAGCTGTGAGGCGGCTTTAAGTGCTTATCTCTCGGTCCATTATTTACACCCATAAACCACGAGATAAATTTATTAAATACACGTAAAAATATCTCGCGGCTAATCCGCTCAAAGCATAAAACAAAATACAAAAGAGACTTTAACCTTATAAAAATACTTTACATAATAAAAAGGTACAAAAAATCCAAGATGGCACGGCACTAGCTAACACGTGCTAGGCCGGCACCCCGCTGCCCAGACAAAAAACCCTGGGTCGCAGCGTCAATATAGCGTTTCCCTATAATATCTACTGTGATGGCGGAATAGAGAACACACTATGATAAAATTGATGATTATTAGTGCCCGCAGTTATAATATATAAAATACAATAATGACGGAGCTAACAGAGACACGTCCTTTCTCTGCAGCTTGTAACACAAAAGAGAGCGAGGATAGGTATACGTCACGACAGGTGCTGTGACGTATACCATGTGATCGGAGGCAGCAGGGCAATTCGTGCCCAGTACCTCCAGGACCACCACACATTTATTTTCGACAAATGGACGTTCTCAATCGACATATACTCATTATTAAAATGATACACAAAACACAAAGACGAAATAAGATCATTTACATTGAAGAAATTTTGAGAAAAGAATTTTTTTATGAAGATTGATTTCGAAGGAGCCCAGTATATATGGTTCTGTGTTATTTCCTCAGTAATTATCTAAGAAATTATATAGAGAATAATACATACCCTTTTCCATATAACATTCTGTATCAATCCGAGACACCAATATCAGCCAGAGGGCTAAAGGCCCGAGGGCTGATACAGGATGTGATGTGGAAAAGGGTATTTTTATTATGTTTAGTACATACTTAGTAATAAAATACAGCAGTGAGCACAAACTAAGTTGAAAAGAAAATAAGTTAATAATCATGCATAGACTTCTTAAATACATGTAGGCCTACATATTGTCTCATAGAGTTTGGGTTTATTTCTACTTCTATTTCAATGCACTCGATCCGTAATTTGAAAATAATCTATTATTTGTCAATTATATTATCCTTATTTTCAAAATGTTAAAATTAAGAGATTATGAACCCCCCAAAACATTGTGTCTGATCACAAGTACTGTTTTTGTGGTTTAATTTACTAGGGGTGTAAAATTGATCCGTATCAACTCTGCAGGGCTGATAACCTATATCAGCCCTGCAAATCCATATCAGCTCTGCAGGGCTGATACGGCTATTGTCACGCCAGCCATATCGCTGTTGTTGTTCTGATTATGTTAAATAATCTCATATTTTGAGGAAATAAAGAATGAATGAATGAATGAATGAATGAATGGAACAGAGCAAACACGGACCCCTGAAACATCAGAGGTAGAGTCATATGCCATAGGGAAGTGAGCAACCTTGTGAAAAACAAATTAAAATTTTGAAACAATCAAATGTTTAGATTGTAAGAGTCCGTAAGTGATATTTATCCTATAAATCTTTATTAAATTGTAATCAACTTATTACACTTGATAATTAAAAAAAGAGTAGAATAAAACCTGTTTTAGTAGAAAAAAATGTTTTGAAATCTTTTTTTTTTTTGGTCAAGGTCGTAATATCGAAAGGTAAATTAATCCATATCAATATTCTTTTTTTTTTTTTTTTTTTTTTTTTTTTTTATAGATGTCTCTTTATAAGGAATTACCTATAATTTTGTAGGTAAGCTTGCCATGAGGTCCTGCGTCACGATCTGTAGCATTCACCTTAAAGATCTCCCTGCCAACCAATGTATCCTCCGGAATCTGTGATGACAAAAAATCATTTACATACCGCTATATGTTTAGAAAAGTCATCAAAATCTTTTTAAAAATTCATTTTACAGTTATAATGTCGCTTTAATGTTCTTTTAACCCTTTCCATGACAAAGATTTTAAGTATTTCTAGACAAATTGATATTAAGATTTCAATGCATTTTTGGGGCATTTCTTGTAATTTTTGTAGATACTAATGTATATATATTCTGAAATATGGATTTGTGTAGTTTCTGAAAATGATTATAAAAATATCATTTCAGTTGCCATGGCAACGAAATACACCATAATCATGCTGGAATTCCCATTTATTTAATAATGAATTTCATTCTAGTTTTTTTGCTTAGTTCAATATATTTAAAAATATTTATTGTTGTGTTGAAAATTTTGAACATGTACATTTTTTTAAAAAACCAATTTAAGTATTTCAGGGGGATTGGGTGGGGTTGGGATTAGTCTGGTCCTGATTTTTAAAAAGAAGGCTAGAAATAACTTCTAACGACAAAAAATTATTATTTGGTCCAGCATAGTTTTTTAGCCTAATTCGAGTATGCTGATTCCGAAAAAAATATGCTGGCCTTCATGAAAATGGCATTGAAGAGGTCAAAATGGCGATTCAAAATAGCTGACATCCATTTTTTTCAATTTTCTCTTAATGTCGTTCAAAATGGAAAAGGTCGTGTGTGAATATCTCACTGAGTGAAATACAAGTATGAAATGATAATAGAATGCTAATATTATTAGTTTAACTCAGAAAATTTAGTCGTTTCTACACTTAATTCGAATTTTCTTTGATTTATTTGTCTATTGCTTCTATATTCTGCTTTGTTCGGGATTTTACATTTGCAAACATCCATACACTGCAGATTTGTATTTTTCCCTCTACATCTCACTTTTCTACAGTTGAACAATATGTTGAATGTTGTTGCAGCTGTAAGTCAAAATGGCGATTCAAAATGGCGGATATTCATATTTTTTCAAATTATTTCTTAATGTCGTTTAAATAGGAGAAATGATTTGTGAATATCAAACTGAGCATAGTACAACTATATAAAATGACAATAGAACACTAATATTATCACATTAATTCGGAAATTTAGTCGTTGAAATTTGAAATGTGTTAATTAGCTAAAAATGGCAATTCAAAATGACGTCATATACACTCGAATTTCGTAAAATACTAGTACTTAAACTGCTTAATTCTGAGTTTTGCAGAAAATAAATTAATGGAGGTTTTTTATTAATGAAATAATGATCAAATATGCATTGGAGGTTTGAGGATACTTTTGTAAATGACTTAAGATTTTGATGACACGGATTTTTGTTTAATTACTTCTATTATTAAGATAAACTTTTGACGACAATTCGGGAGACATTTTACCTATTACCTATCTCACTATGCTTCTTCATATAAAAAGTTAATAGTATCATACAATAATTGCTGTTTAGAGGACAATATGAAAATTAAACTACCCCGAGGGCAGTATTCCCCGAGTATTATGGCGAGTGAACATTGTAGTTCGAGGGGTTGCTAAATCATATCAGTTGTTGGAAATTCTTGATCTATTTTTATTTTTTATTTCTATTTTTTAGAAAAAAATAAATGTTTATGTTCTTGAAGGTCTAGTGCAACATAACTTAGTATGATTTTTAAAATGATGGATTATGACCAATTAGAGGGCTAATAATTGTTACAGCATATAAATCTGAATTTATTAATTATATTATAATATCCAAATAATAACATATTTATGAAGAATTATCAGTATAATATACGTTAACCATAAATTTTCTTGATTGTCTAGCTATGATTCTGTGTCCCTGCATTTGCATTTTGTTATTCTCAAGATTCAAATGCATTCACAAATATTTCATGTTGTGAACGGATAATCTTGTATTGAAAAGTGTATTTAAATTTAAATTTTGAAAGAAGTCTGTTCACTTTATGCATTAAATGGCCCTGTAGATATACAAATTAATTGATAAACGATTTATTTTCTAATTGAAGCATTAAAATAAAATAGAGACTTGGTACTTTCATATACTATTAAAAAATTATTTAAGATAGGATTCTTCTCTGGTTTTTAACGAGATTAAATATTCAAAGTATAGTTGCTTATATGTGTTATATATTTAGGTGTAAGAGATTTAAAAGACCACATCTTTCTTTTCTCATCAAAATTGTACAACTTTAAATAGAAATGACAAATTGCCTTTGAAATCTAACAGGGACTATATTTTTGGCGGAATGGTGGCAAGATGAAAATATCTTCTTTTCTGCCTTTCAAAATTATTATATATACATGCTAAATTTTGAGTCGTTTTGCAGAAAATAAATTAATGTTTGGGTTTTTTTATATTGTATATACTATAAATAGTATACTGATTAGTCTATTAAATATGAAAAAACAAAAATACTAGAAAAGTTTCATTTTTTTTCTGGAAATAGTTAAAAACAAACTCAACTTAAGAGTTTCCAAATTTTCCCCTCGTATTTGATCGTGTTCCAACGCCTTTGAGCCGACCCTGTCCACGTGAAATTACTCCTGGATCGCTGTCATTATCAACTCTCATTTCTACTTCAACATCCCTCCATCATTCAAATAACGGAAGAAATTCTTGTCTGATTTCTTCGATACTTTGTACTAGGTTTTGAAATTAGCACTGGTAAGAGCTTAGTATTTCCCCTTTACATCTTCTATTCCAGCTTTATGGTTAATGTTAAAATTAAATTTTGTTTTCCAAAACCTTATGCAAAATGAACTAGAGGTACTGTGAGCAATGAGCGCACTAAATGATACCCCCGTCTCCCATATGAATATAATGACAGTGTCCATGTTTTGCTATGGGAAACCCAAAATATGTGTTTGATCAAAAAAGTAAAATAGGAGGTGCACAATGGCAATATATGTAATGAAGATTCATGAAAGTTTCATCAAATTTCATTCAGTGGTATGAGAGGAGTTGTGGATAATAGATGGGTACCCCAAAGCGTAACAAACGGATGGATAGACATACCGATCACTATATACCCTCCCGCTTGAGAACTTGAGAAGCAGGGGTACAAAAAAATCTCCGATATTCAAGACATGTAGCTTTCTATTTTGAGGCCGTATAGATTTGTTGTCTTTTTGGGTAGAAAGGTATTTCTATTAGCAAGAAAATTCTCATAGTTTATCATCTGGAATCACGTTGTGCGCATATTTTAGTGAGAAAAGTTGGTTAATTATGCAATTTGAGAGCGCCTGCAGATTCCTTGTGATTCCTTTCACGTACAAGCTTTCGTACAAATAGGCCTAAGCCATTCTTGACTTTAATCTAGTCATCACTTCTCTTGGCAACAACATTTTCTCGAACACTCCAAGAACTTTACAAGGCAACTAGATCCACACTTCTTTGTTAGGATAGTGTAAGGTTGTATGAAGAATCAAAGGGAGATTGAACACAAACATTTTCCTCTTTCAGATTTTGTAAAGAACAAGGTTCACTTTTGCCTTATTTGGCCCTGTGAATTTCTGAAAAACTGAAACTGTAGTGTTCTAGTTAACAATTGCCTTAAATATCTTAGGCATTTGTGAATGTGTATCTATAAAAATGACGTCATTTTCTGGCTAGTCAATGCATTATGACGTCACGAAAAGCGTCAATTTCCTCATATTCTGAAAAAATCTACAAAAACGGCCAATTTTTAAAGCTATTTTTTGATATTTATATAGAGCGCAACCTCTGATCTAAAATATGCAACTAGTAAATGATGGAACTGTTTCTGAAGATTAATGGATATGTTTTATTTTTTAGATCAGAGAGTGCGCTCATATTATTTTTCGTCACTGAAAAAGCTCAATTATACCTGTTTACCTAAAAATTCAAGAACATTGCAATTTCATAAAGCCAGTTTCTCAAGACCTGGACTTTGCTGAGAAATTTTTTAATAGTATATGAAAGTACCAAGTCTCTATTTTATTTTAATGCTTCAAAAAGAAAATCAAGTATTGAACAATTTATCGGTGTATTACAGGGCCATTTCATGCATAAAGTGAACAGACTTCTTTCAAAATTTAAATTTAAATACACTTTTCAATACAAGATTATCCGTTCACAACATGAAATATTTGTGAATACAGTTGAAGTTTTCGACTGAGAATAACAAATGCAAATGCAGGGACACAGAATCATAGCTAGGCAATCAAGAAAATTTATGGTTAACGTATATTATACTGATAATTCTTCATAAATATGTTATTATTTGGATATTATAATATAATTAATAAATTCAGATTTATATGCTGTAACAATTATTAGCCCTCTAATTGGTCATGGTCCCTCATTTTAAAAATCATACTAAGTTATGTTGCACTAGACCTTCAAGAACATAAACATTTATTTTTTTCTAAAAAATAGAAATAAAAGATAACAAGAGGCCCATGGGCCACATTGCTCACCTGAGCACTGTGGCTAGGAAAAAGCAGAATTGGTTTATACTTGAAAAAGCTTAAATCCAAAAGTAGTCCCATGACCAATCATGGCTTTGCTATTCTTGAGAAGAAGATTTTTAAAGAATTTTCCTATACATTTCTATGTAAAACTTTGGTCGGCCATTTTGGCGCCGCCCTACCCCTGGGGGTCATGATTTGAACAAACTTGAATCTACAATACCTGAGGATGCTTCCATAATTATATAAATATGATCAATTATGGCTTTGTTATTCTTGAGGAGAAGTTTTTTAAAGAATTTTCCTATATATTTCTATGTAAAACTTTGGTCGGCCATTTTGGCCCCGCCCTACCCCTGGGGGTCATGATTTGAACAAACTTGAATCTACACTACCTGAGGATGCTTCCATATAAATATGATTAATTATGGCTTTGCTATTCTTGAGGAGAAGATTTTTAAAGAATTTTCCTATACATTTCTATGTAAAACTTTGGTCGGCCATTTTGGCGCCGCCCTACCCCTGGGGGTCATGATTTGAACAAACTTGAATCTACAC